GACCACAAGTTAACAGATGATGATACACCGCAGACGTTTATGATTTACTGTGTACATTACATGTGTACTATCTGTTTGCCCTCTGCACTTCTCTAGTTCAGTAATTATCTGATTTCCTTTATGGGACATCGTTGAGGACTTGTTTCAAGGACCTCGGTTTCATTAGAAGAAACGACTCTGGCAAAATGCCTGAACGCGTTACCATAGAGAAATTCCTTGATGGCCCGTTTTAAACAGGCTGTACAGATGTATAGCAATAATCATTGTATTCATAAGTCTGAGTAAACACAAACGTTTATCAGCAGTTTCCATAGAGAATATTGAACCAGTTCAGCTGCTGCCACGCCCAACATTTCAACACTTGGTTTAGCCACTTTCCAATGCTGTGGACTTCGACTTAACTGCTGCAAAAGGTAGAGGCAGTACGGCTGCAAAATTCACTGTGAATAGTGTGGCTAATATGAATGTGAAATATTCATACCATGTTTGAAGAGCAAAACTTGTCAGCCGAGTATTATGACCTTGTGTTTTTCATGCTTATGTAATATTTAGCTATTTGGACAGAGTCTGTCGGCAGCAGATGCCAGCGGCAAACACAAACGACATTTCTCTAAACGCTCAAAGTCGCAAAGAGATGGAAGAACAGAGCAGAGAGAGGAAAGAAGTCACAAATAGCTGATGTAGCCATCACAATATTTTTTTTATGTCATGCAGTCCTACTAGGTAGATTTAGCAGATTTAGATTTAAATCGATCCGTTAAAAACAGGTTTCTTTATTGTTGATTAGGGTGATGGTTATGAGGCTCCCCATTTTCAAAGATACAGAGACTTACTTCAATAGACTATGTTAACTCTGCTGCAAGATTTCTTTTGTTTGTTTTTACTTTAATGTATCGACATGCATCAAATTCAAACAACTTATGTTTGATAGAATAATTTTGACTCCGCTACAAAAAAAAAAATGTATAAAGGAAGCAATTAACTTGATCTAACTGCTTTTATTTAAAGCATGGGTCTTCAACGTTTTTCAGGTCCAGGACCCCCAAACTGATGGCGAGATGGAGCAGGGACCCCCTAATTATATATATTGAATGAAATTGTGTTATATCAAACTGGTCCTATAGTCACTCGATTACAGATGGAGTCATGTAATGAAAGTAATTTCTCCCTGGGATTATTAAAGTATTTCTGATTCTTGGTTGATGGGACAGGTGTTGTGAATGAAACGGTGCCCAGCTTAAAAGAGCTCCTGTGTGTCGCTGAATGTCTGCATTGATGACTGAAAGGCATCTTCTGCCTCCATTTACCTGTTTAATACAGTGTGTTTAATTCCTGTTTATGTGTATTTAAAGACTTTTCAATTAGTGGAAAAATTGCAGGGGGGAATATTAAAAAAAGAGTGTTATCAACCAAAACTTTGGCGAACCCCATGCAGTACCTCCGTGGACCCCCTAGGGGTCACGGACCCCCTGTTGAAGACCTACGATTTAAAGGTATAGAGGACGATCTTTTATTTCCGGGTGGATCATCTCAATAAGTGGTCCTCCTTATTGTCAATCATTCTGGTGATATGTTTACATAAGGCCGTCCTACATGCTCGTCCCCTGTTAGCTATCTTTTTCTGCTCATGTGTGCTTTCAGGCATATATCTGTGGTGAGTGACAGTTTCAGACAGTCACTGAAGCTCACCTTTCTCACCTCGGTTCTTTGAAAAAGGCCAAGGGTCGTAAGAGAAAAAGTGTCTACGAGAAGAAAAGAAAGGCCTCAGAAGAGGCAGATATATCCCAGAATGCTTTGTGCTGAGAGCTCTCCTCGCAAAGCATTTGCTGTCACAGCTGCCCGCAGTCGCCATAGGCTGTTATACCCCACACAGACGACTAATAACAAAGATGGCGCAGGCACCCAGCGGTGGAGGAGGAGTTACGTGACCAATGGAGCAAAAAGCCGTGATCATCTGTCTGAACGGTCAGTTAACTGACTCTATTTAGGGGTTAGGGTGTACGTTCAGACAGCTTGTACGAGCTATGAGAACAGCAACTTTGAACTAGAGCGTGCATGAGGAGAAATGGGCTCTTGCATGCTCTCGCACCTGTTTAAAAGGCGTTTCCTCTTGGTAGCACTTACAGGGAATGTGCATGTGCATTTTTTTTTAAGTGGAGAGGGCGGGTCTTTTAAAAATAATTGCGAAAATCCTCCACAATACTTTCAAAACAGAAAAGAAACAGAAATATTGGTTTTGTTTTTCCAGCTGGAGGGTAAGACTGCAACCACAGCCTGATGCATCCACCTCCATGTTTCACTAATAGGACGGTGGGACCAGGGTGATGTGTATCATTTGTTTTCCACCACACAACATATTTGTTTTGTTTTCTTTATTTTACGACTTTATTTATCTCCAGCAGCTCCTCAGCTGCTTTAGTCCAAACTGAGCTGGATAGCCTCTCTGATACCAGATTATGATATACTTTAAAGAATTACTTTCCTTAAAGTTTTGCCTCACATTTCCAAAGTTTTTGTTTGTTTATTTGTTTCGGAGCAAACTGCTTTAAGAAGTAAAAATGCAAATTAGCTTGAATCTTTTGTTTGTGTTGGAGCAGCTGCCGCTGTGTTGGATAACCCTGGTTGCTAGAGGGCAATTGTTGAACCCTGATGTTATCTCTGATGTGCTAGCTAGCTTACAGACCTTTACTCTTTGTGCATTTTTTTTTTTATTGCCTGGAAGGTGACTGACAGCCCTCAATTTTCTCTTATGTAATTTTGCTGGAGGTCACTGTTTTGTAACTCGTCTTTTTTCTCCCTCTATTCCGACACACTCCTGTTCCCTTTTCCATTTCTCTTGCTAATGATCCATACCATGAGCCAATCTGTCACTCCTGCACCATCGGTCCCTTCCTCTCATTCCCTGCTGTTGTCTCCAACATGATGCCGATAGATTTTTCCCTCCCCTCAAGGGAAGAAGGCACATTTGCTGTGAAAAAACAAAACCCTGGGCAGAATAGTCGGATGGAGTACTGCACGGTGGAGCAAGTGCTGAAAATGAAACACACTGCAATAAGCTGAGCTAAGTGAGATTGTGTTAGTGATTCATTGCATTCATTACTGCGTTTTTTCCCCCACATATTTTCAAACCAAAAAAACTTAGTTACATCTATTTATAGCTCCCTCATGTGTAACAGTGCAGCCTCGTTTCTGATAATTGACTTTTTGTTCCTCGTGGGTTTCCATCCAGATGTCTTCCCTAATATTAGCCATACCTGTACTGTGCTTTAGTTCTATTAGCTTCTTTCTCATATTAAAACCATCAAAAATTCTCATTGTTAATCTGAATTCCTGTAAAGTTTTTCTCCTTTATTGTTTAGGGATGTTTTAGAGTTAAAAGTAATCGAAACCCAGACAGTATTATCAGTTCATCGAAACTTTCACAAAGAAAAATATGACTTCTAAACAGGCATGCAATGATCAAAGGTTTTCTGCCTTTTTTCCTCGTTTTTAGATGCAGCTGCAAAGACTTTAAATGCAACCTACTACAATTACAGCAAATGTTTTCATTTATAGCAACTACAAAGCTATTATTTTTCAACTTTAAATCTCTTGCTCACAGTTAGCGTAGTGAATAAAGATCATTACCTGGTGAATTTTGCATGTTTTCCGTAACAGAAGAAGAAAGCTCAAAAGAATAAAGAAAAGAACATTTTGAAATACATTGAGGCTTCCTGTTATCTGCAGGAGCGCATCAGTTTGCTTCTACTCTTATTTTTATTTGACAAACTCCTGCCCAAAGTTTAGCGCTCTGTTCAGGAAATAAACAGACAAAATTAGAGGGAAAAAAAGAGTTCCTCTAAAACTGCTTACTATTCATTTTACGATCTTCTTCTTGTTCCTTCCACACTGAAGAGTGGTGTGAATGCTGAAACCTGGGATTACTTCTCTATTTTGCTTTTACCCATCATTTCCAATCATCTCTCAGTGGATCTATCATTTAGAGACATGCCAGTTGATCCAGGAGTCTTTTATTTATCTGCAGCCGTTGCTGTTGAATATGTTTGCCCTCCAGGAAACCGGGAATCTCTTTGCAAACAGGTTGGACAGGAAAAAGCAGGCATACAGGCTAGATGAGAGAAAGTGAAAGAAATCAAATTTGTAGATGACAAAAAAACAAATGAAAAGACACTAAAATAAATTTGCTGTTTCTGTACATATATATATATTTATTTATTTTTTTCAACCATATTGGAAGAGTGGCCCTGATAAGACCAGCTGTGATGTCATCTACGAAGCGATATCAGTCACACCGGTTGACGCACGGTATTTATCTCCGTACTCTCTGCAGCCTGTCATACAGGCTGATATGATCGGAGCTGCTCTGGCCGTCCTGCAGGAATGTTGCTACATTAGATGATAAATGCACAGGTTCAGAGGCGGTAACACGAAACCTGCTGAGAGTTTGAAGATGATATCTGTCTCTTTGCCTGTTTGAGCGTCGGGCAGCGCAGATCCTCATGTTGATGCTGGATGTCAAATCTGAAATTTATCACCCATGACTTGCAGTCTTCTCAGAGCGTGTGCTCATAAACAGAAGGAAAGGAGAAGTAAATGATAACAGGCTGCCGCTGACACAATAGAATTAGTGGTGGCTTTTAGATCCCTTGTTTGAATCGTATATTTTGGTTATGCAAATAATTTTCTGGTTGCTATGGATGGCCGAGCATCGTAGTCTCACAGTCCCCTCCTGAGCGGTGCTCCTTAGTTTCCTATGTAGTCTGAAAAAATTATGCTCCTAAATTAAATATGTTGTTATCAGGGTGTTAGATTATTTTTGCTACTTTCTCTCCTCCTCTGCTGTGAGCTTGTTTGAAGAAAGTCGTCCTAGTAACAGAATCCACTCTGTTTATGTGTGAAGTCTAAGTAGAATAGCTTTTACATGAGATATTTTGTTTTCTCTTTTTCTCTCTTCGCCTTTTCTTACCTTCTCCACCTTTTTTGGCCCTTTCTCATGACAGAAAAGTGTGAAGGAGGGAATCCTGTTAAAACAGACCAGCTCCTTCCAAAGATGGAAGAGGAGATACTTCAAACTCAGAGGGAGGACTCTCTACTACGCCAAAGACTGCAAGGTACAGAAACATGTGAACGTTCCCCTGCATTGCTTTTAAATTCACTATATTATTAATAATTATGAAAATAATCATTAGAAATGTGACTTTATGCATTGAAAAAGCGAAATCAAAGGTGATTGCAGAGTTCTGTTTCCCCATCAGTCCCTGATCTTTGATGAAGTGGACCTATCAGACGCCAGCGTGGCTGAAACGAGCACCAAGAACATCAACAACAGCTTCACAGTAAGCAAATCCCTTTATTTTGAATAATAAAACATTTCTATTTAGTTTTTTCACTTAACAGCCTATTCCTACACTTAAACAATTTTCTAAATCTTACAGATCTGGATGGGAAATAGGGAGTAATATGTTTAATTTTTGTCTTTATCCGAGTGACGTTTTTTCTAGCTGTTATTTGATTGTTTTAAATTGAACAAAGCATTTTTAAGTTATAGTTTCTACAAATCAGTATGAATGATAACATTAATTTATTTAAAAGAATGTTTTTTCGCAAATTTTAACATCTTAAATCTTATTGTTAATTTATTTATTAACATTCCGGTTAAAAAAGAGCCACACAAGTTGCTTTTTAATGTGTTTTAGAAAGCATACGCTCTCTAAATTCACTGTCCAAATGATCAGTAGTTTGTGGCATTTTCTCTGTTTTGATATGACTCATTGATAGTTTGACATTTCATTGCTCTTCATAATTATGTGCGAAACAAATTGGTAGTTGGTGTTATTCTGCTCATAAACAAGGTGGAAAATTATAAAAATGATTAATGGGTCTCAACCATGTAGCTGTTGGTCTAAGCTGGGCTGGTCAGATCAAAAGGACATAGGGAGATGGAGCAGCTAATGCCTTCCTGCTTTTTCTGCTATTTTATTATTTTGAAAAGTGGGAAGGATAAATCTTTGATAAAGAAAAGTCCTAATTTTTTTATATTCCCTGATTTAATGTGGATTTGGTTGAGATAGGGATTTTATTTGATTTCTGATTTTCATCTTTTATGAGTTTGAAAGAATAAAAGCATTAATAAATTACTTTTTCCAGCTGTCCAGATGTGATTTTAGTTAAGTTATAGAGTGGAAACAATTGATATTATTAATCGTTACTAATTTAATAATCAATTAATCGTTAATTGGAGTATAGAGACACTAAAACATGACTATCGCTGAAAGAGCAGCCCACTTAGAGCAGTATTATATAAAAATTGTAAATAAAAATATATAGAGATTATGCATTTAAGATTTAAAAAAAAATAATAATTTCATCTGTCAATATGCTCTATGCAGAACTCCTCAATTGGAAAAGTTTTAGTTTCACCTGCTCAAAATGTATAAAAAGTCTTCTTTAACCATCTTGCTATTTGATTACCGGTATTAATGGATTATTCGAAAAAATAAGGAGGAGTACCTGTAAAACAGTTCTTATTGTTCAAAATAAGAAAAGACAACATGATTTTTAGACATTTTGAAATCTTTGAAAGACTTGTTGATGATTACCGCTGTTATTAAATGTAGACAGGATGTTTCCCTAAAGAGTAAAGATCCTTATGTTGACTCAAAGATTTCCAAAAATACTGCAGACACGTTCGATATCAGACAGAGACTGGAAGTAAAGTTGGGCGTTTGGACGACTCTAATGACCATCGACGATAGACTTGGTTGCTTTTTTAAGAGCATTTTTATTTGTTTTTGTTTTCCCCCCTGCAGGTTAAAATGCAGCCCAAGACAACAACAAAAAAAACCTAAAACAAACAAACACTGTTTTAATGGTACACAAAAACTCCTTCCAGCTTCAGCGGTTTTCCCCAGTTTCACTGTGCAGCGGCAAAACAGAGACTGGGTGTTTCTTTGTTGTTGTTTTTTAAAGTCGTAGGGAAATCATATTTAAATGTCAAATCATTCTGGCTTAAACATATATATAAATGTACTCTTTATCAGAACATTTTTGAAAATTTCAATTAAAAAAAAAATCCTGTCACAGAGTCCTCTCTGTGGGTTTTTTTTTTTCGTTATCTTATGCAGGCCAGTTAGTTATAGGTCAGCCAATTAAATTCGGTCAATCATATATCAACGGTCATCTGTCAATAACATTTTTTCGGTCATAGCATCTTGATTCAGATGTCGCAGCTAATATACGCAACAGTTGAAATAAGAATCATTTCCTTTCCCATTGAGTTCCGTCCCAGCGTTCACGGGGATGGACGTCTGTGTCTTCAGCAGGCGTAGAGCTAACAGAACTGGCAGCGTTGCGAGGCAAGGGCTCAAACATGTACGGCTGTAAGCCTTCTACACCAAACCAAGCTTCTGGCGTCCTCTTCCACAACAACTTCGTCCCCGCTTTCCGCCTCTAAATAAAAAATGTATGACAGAGGAGACTCATCCACGACCTCCGACACAAAACTCTCCTCCTCTTGCATGTTTCCTCTGTCCATAGCGTTCCTTGACAGCGTCGTTTCTAAGTCACCAATTTAGTGCTACTTGGTCCCAATGGAATTTCCCATTGGGAACCTACTAGCACTAAGTTGCTAACTGGTTAGCAAGATGCTTCAGAGAAAACGACCACAACCAAACCTGCTTGCAAACCATCCGCCACAACAATCCGCTTTCTTGATAATCGACCAATCACATTCACTTTATTCACTAGTGTAAAGTCGGAGACCACTCAGGAGAATTTGAAAATGCAACGTTTGGTACAGCTGTTTCCCTACGACTTGAAGCAGCTGAACCAGAACCAGAGATAAACAAATGAATAACAATTAAAAAAAACTATAATATCTCATAAAAAAGTCAGAAAAAACAGGAAAAGATAAAACTGTAAGAAAGAATACCACTGAAAGAAAGTCTTTCTGTGGTATTGGGTTTTAGCAGTGTGCGCAATATTTCCAGCGGTGTAGTAGAGGCGCTCCAAAGGGGCGCTTGTCTTTGTCCACACCTGCACGAACATGAAGCTAAGGCGGAAATTCAACTGAAGAAACTCTGATTACTTCCATTCAATCTGAGGCTGATCCGCCTCCAATGCAGCCAATCCGCTTCAAGCCACATTTCCTCGATGCCCAATCATCTTCCAGCAATCTCCTTAAAAGCCAATCCAAATCATCTCTTGGCCTGCTCTTCAACAAGCGCAAGATCCGTTGGTATGTCGGACTTTGATTCAGACAACCCACCCCCATCCCCTTCTCCACCATTGTAGTAAGCTCATCCGACTCCTCCTCGATGCTCCTTCAACCTCACCTCCAGTGTGTACTCCCTCCAGACTTTCATGGAGTTCCGTGTCACATTAAACGGTCTGGCAAGTAGACCGCCATGTTGAGCCTGGTTCTGCCAGAGATTTCTTCCCAAAGGGGAGTTTTTTCTCTCCACAGTCGCTTCATGCTTGCTCTTCATGGACAGTTCATGGACAGTTTATGCAACTTTGTTCATTCAGTGACATCTAACTCAAGCATCACCCTGTATACCAGCCTCTATGGATCAACCAAACTTCATATATCTAAACTCCACCACCAGTTTCAGGCCCGGGGGGGAATATCCTTACTCTCATACATCAGTTTATCTGCATTAAAGTATAAATCAGCGTTTATGTATCCTGCAGAGGGCTGAGCGCCAAAGTTCAAACTATTGTATCAATAAACTCTTCTAATTGCATTTTCTCTCTCTGTGAGTTTTTCAGATTGAAATATCATCCATCACAGTTTGTTGTACTGATGAATAATGGTTAGAATTGTTTTTCACCTCACCTTAGCTGGAATCTCAAACCAGTAAAACGAAGCATATCTTCTGTTATATCTGTGCCTTCCTGTTATCCCCTCATCTCTCATGCTCTCTTTAAACTCAAGCATTATGTTAACTTGTGACATAAAGAATGATTTCCCTTTTTAAAAGCCTCCAAATTCCTCTAAGCAATCCTTAAACACTTCACCGATAATGAAACTAAACTGAACAATACTAAACAGCTCAGCTCAGGTTTCTATCTGTAAATGAAAACATAGATGTTTCCAAACGGCTGACTCTTAATCTGAATTACATAATCTCCGAATAGTCATAATCCAGGAAGAGTGACTCATTTGAAAAGTGTTTACTGTAGTAATAAATTGAGTGCATGGTAAGAGTCATAGTTGCCCTAATCTTAAAATCTGAATTGCTTTAGTCTAATAAAGAAGTGCCGACTATCTGGATGAATGGTAACGTTGCTGTTGTTTATATACTGTTGGAACAAGTTAAGGCATTTTTCATTCATTTCAACCTGAAGTCAAAGGTGATTCTTTCTCAGCCACACTGAGTTTTGCATTGGTACATAACACCAAAGCGTGTAGAGTTTAATACATCACAAGCTCATCTGTTGTAGCATCATCCAGATCAGTTAATCATCCGTTGGCTTGACGTGGTTACAAATATTTCAGATGCGGTCTGAAAATTGACTGATTTTCATCTGTTCTTCACAGGTGATCACCCCGTTCCGTAAATTAATGCTTTGTGCCGAAAACAGGAAGGAAATGGAGGACTGGATCACAGCGCTTAAGTCGGTTCAAAAATGGGAAACCTATGAAGTGAGTGTCTCTAACCTCTCAATGGGTTTCCAGTTTTATTTGTTTCCATAACTAAAATCTTTAATCTTTTGGTCCAGATTTGATTAGATTTTTTTCAACGCCTCTCTTGCTGATTAGTGTTCCTTGATTCATTTCTGTTTATTTATTTTTCAGAATAAATTTTAATTCCTAGCAGGGTCAGTTGGACCCATAAAGTAATTGTCCTCTATCTTCTGCATGGCGCAGGCCAGTCAGTTCAACATGGAGCATTTCTCTGGGATGCACAACTGGTACGCCTGCTCGCACGCAAGACCGACCTTCTGCAACGTCTGCAGGGAGGCCCTGCCAGGCGTCACCTCCCACGGCCTGTCCTGTGAAGGTGCACACTCGCTCACACTTTTAGGAGGCTGCACTTTGATTCTGCATCCATGCATACATTAGAAGAAAGCTGAAGCTGTCTTGGTCTGTGTTAGCAGTGAGGGCATTGCTCATGTACCTACAGACTTAATGTTTTTCTATACATCATACTATGTTATCATTATATTATGTTAAAGATTTTTTTTTTATCATTATTTGGAGCCTTAACTGAGTGGTTTATAACTCCTCTGCTTCCAGGCAAACACAATTTTATTGCAGGTTTGACAAAAGAATAGTTGCGTTCCTGCGTCATTCATATCAGCAGGAAAATCTGAACCCGTCCATAAAACATTTTGAAGTCGGGTCCCGATAAAAACCTATTTTTTAACCCTGTTAAAATTCCTGAACAAATTCCAGAATCCTGCACAGATCTAACGAAGCAAACACGCTGTGATTCCTGCCAGAAAAGGTAATAATCCGTAGCTGCAGAGAGGAAGAAAAACTCTAACAAGTTTGTCAAGTTCCATTTCTTCAGCAATGATTAAACACCGATGCCCACGGTTATTCATTTCTAAAGTGCTCTACTTTTAAAAGCTCTCCTAGCTTCTGGCTTGAATAGAATAGATGTACTTATTTTAGCCTCTGAAATCAGTTCACATTGATTAATTAAGCCTAAACTAGCTTTAAAAATGGACGCCAAGTGATTTCTATCTGCATTGTTTTTCTTATTAATTTGAAAACTATTCATACGTATTTAATGGTCATCCTTTCATTACGTAATTTGATAGAAGTACATACATATATGTTGGTATTTAGTATTAGTTGGCCTTTTCTGCGAAGAACTAAAAGATTAATTAAAGAAAATAAGCAAACAGACTGCTCAGCAATAAAGTTGTAGGGAGGTTTACAGTAGAATTAGGTTATAAAATAAAACCCCAGGTTGTGGAAATCTCACAGAAGACTGTCCAATCCATCAGAAAAGCAGCCAAGGGACCCGTGGTCTGCAAGATCTACTAAGATCCACTGCTCTGTGCACTAAATGAGTTTAGCCTTTTTTGGGAGATTTACAACAATAACAAACATTCCTGAAAAGAAACCATAAGAGGTCACACTGCAAAAACGATGTAGAACAGGGGTCTTTCTCAGGCTAAGGACCCCAAACTGATGGCGAGATGGGAGCCGGGACCCCCTAATTATACGTATTGTATGAGATTGTGTCATATCAAGTTGGTGGTCACTCTATTAAAAATGGTGTAAGTAACGAAAGTAGTTTCACCCTGGGATTATTAAAATATTTCTGATTCTGATTCCTGGTTGATGGGTGTTGTGAATGAAACAGTGCCCAGCTTGAAAGAGCTCCTGTGTGTCACTGAATGTGTGCAATGATGACTGAAAGACATCTACTGCCTCCATTTATCTGTTTACTGCAGTGTGTTGAATTCATGTTAATGTGTATTTAAAGACATTTCAATTAGTAGAAAAATTGCAGGGGGAATATAAAAAAAAAAAAGTCTAATCAACCAAACTTTTCGCGACCCCCATGCAGTACCCCTATGGATCCCCTAGGGGTCACGGACCCCCTGTTGAAGACCTCTGATCTAGAAACAAGTAAAAAAAAAAATCTTAAATTAAGTGTTTTAACCCCTAATTTGAGTAGTAAATAAGATGATTTGCAAGTGGAATTAGTTTTTTTACTCTTAAAATAAGATAATTAGATAATATTTACTTGAAATAAGACAATGCATTTGTTTTTTTTCTTATTTTAAATGTAAATTGCCTTTTTTCATTGGCAAAGTGTCTCACTTTCCTCCTCAATTCAAGAGAAAATGACTTATTTAGATTAAAATTTTTTGCAGTGCACGTTTCAGCTTGGTACAAACCATAAAACCAACATTTTAACTAAGCTGCTGTAGTCAAAAAAGCAGCAAAATGGAACATATAAAGGTTATGTAGAAGTGTTTTTGTGTGGCAGGAAACGAATACTTTGCATCGCTACTGTTAAACATGGTGATGGCAGCATCATGCTGGAGTCTCTCCAGCTGGAACACTGTTGGATGCTTCAAATTGATGGAGAAATGGATGGAGCCAGATACTGGGCAACCTGTTGGACACTGTAAAGAATTTTACCACCCAGCCGGACAGCAATGCTAAACATACTGCCAGAGATAATAGAGCACACTAGTTTAGATTAAAGTTTGCTTTTAAGTCTTGGATGTTGAGGTTCACAGACTTCTCTATTCAGTTTAAAACCTATACGTCACTTTACAGTAATGCATAAAATCCCTACAAAATGATTCAGTAATAACGATATTTTTGCGAGTAGGAAAAACTTTGGAAACTGAAACTTTTTTCTACTTTTCATGTTTTTTTTTTGCAGTTTGCAAGTTCAAGGCTCATAAGCGCTGTGCAGTTCGCTCCACCAACAACTGCAAATGGACCACACTGGCCTCTATAGGAAATGAGATTATTGAGGATGAGGATGGGGTGAGACATTTAATCCTAGAAATATCTAACTTGTTCTTGTTGGAATTCTACTTTCCTCGATTCTTTTCTTTCAATTTCTATCAGCAACAGAAAACTAGAGCTATGCCACGATGTGGTATAAACGGCTAGTTCCATATTCCTTTAGCAAAGGGAACTTATAAATAACAATCCATTCATATTTTTGGATGTTTTCAGGTGTCTATGCCACACCAGTGGCTGGAAGGCAACCTGCCTGTCAGTGCCAAATGCGTGGTGTGTGACAAGAACTGTGGCAGCGTGCGGCGGCTGCAGGACTGGCGCTGCCTCTGGTGCAAGGCCATCGTGAGTGGGATTGATTTCAGCCTCCTTCCTGTCAAAACCTGTCATTTCAAATCAGTCTTGAAAGTTATTTAGGGCAATGCTAAAAAGCTAAAGTTATTCTTAGTTTAAGTTAAGTTCAGATCATGCACACCATCATAGAGACAGTTTAGCTTCATAAGACGTCAGAATCTGTGTTTTTTTTCTGTTTCAACCAAGATTAGAACCCGTTAGAGTTTCTTCCATCACATTTTCTACAAGAAAAATTTTTTCATCTTATAGCTTCCAATATAAATAATCTGTTGGTAAAAAACTCCATAACTCATCAATGCAATATAAAAAGGAATAAAAAAGAAACTGTTTCTGAACAATATTTGTTTTGTTATTTATGCCACAGGATATTATGACACCATTTACATAATGAGAAATCTCCTTTTCCTTAAAGTAATAACAAATATATTAGTTGAGGTAAGAACTACAGAAGGAAAGTGGCAAACAAACATTTATATAATTGCTTAGATCTGCTCCATCCTTTATATCTAGACATTATTTTTATTCAATTCAGTAAAATTTGGGTTAAAAAGGCTTGTAGGTTTGCTCACACTGAACTGCTGCATTGTTATATCTATAACAGAAAGTCACTGCTGGATAATAAGCTTCTGAGCACATCAGATTTGGGGCTGATCAGATTTCAGGGTCGTTTTATCAACAGTTGCTTCTAAGATCATTGGATCTTCCCACCGCGCCGGCGGCAGTCATGCAGTTATCTTGCCGAAAGGTTTTAACAGAATCTGCCACTGGGAGACAGAGTGCCAGGCTTTTACTTTCCTCCACTTCCATTAGGCGAAAGCTTGGGATGGAGCACATTGACCCTCAACACAAAGTCCGGCTCTCAATGCATAAAAACACTGAGAGCCACAAGCACAAATGATTCAGAGTGGCATTTGTAAAGGTTACAGAACTGGCATTTGGTGGGTTTCAGTGGGATGTAACGACCTTTCTCCCACCACTGAAATCTGCAATTACTGTGTCCACAAAAAAACTCCCTCCACATGTGTGTGTGTGTGTGTTTTCAGGTGCATAGCAGCTGTAAAGAACAAATGGGGAAGGTGTGTCCCCTGGGTCAATGTCGAGTCTCAATCATTCCACCCACTGCACTTAACAGCATCGACTCAGATGGTGAGACGGCACCCACGCCCACTCGCCCACCCACACACCCTACTTTTCCACACTCTATTGAACTGACAGTGGGGGGGGGGAGCAGAGGAATGTAACCGTTCCTGTCTAAATGCTGGGAATGCAGAGCAGGTTGAGGTCAAGAACCAAGAACAAAGCTTTTTTTGTGCCGCTAAAAAAACTTCCTGGTTAATAATCTCTAGAGTTTAAAGAATTATTTGATGCAATATAGCTGTAGATTCTTCATTTTTAACATAACTTTGTTTTTTTATACTCATATGCAGCTTTCTAGACAGAAATTGATCTAGAATTAGAACATTAAGGTACAAACTACAGAGAAGAGAAACTCTGTTTGATTAAAACTTCTATAAGATCTATGAACATTTTTTCTTTCATGAGTAAAATCTATTTTTATTTTACTTTTACAGATTTTCTAAAAACCGCTTTTCGGTCAAAGAGTTTTTTCTCTTTGCGACACAAGAAATCTATAAGTACAGTAAAATCCTGCATCGTCATCATGATTTATTTCGAGGTGGAAATGTCAATTGAAAATATTCAGTACATAAAAATGAACGTATAACAGGTTATTTTTCAATTCAATTCAGTTTATTTATATAGCGCCGATTCACAACACAAGTCATCTCAAGGAACTTTATAGTCCCTAAAAAAGTGTAAAGAGAAAATTGTATTTATTCCCACACCTTTCATTTCTAAAAAGGCTGTTTACAAACATATCTGCCTTCCATCAAGGTTGATAAAATAAAAAAAACTGTATAATAAATGAAAAACTATTGTGATTTTCTTTTAATCTCAAAGTAAACCTTTTTTTTTTAGTTATTTTCATTTTTCCTTAATATTATACAAGCACCAGTAAATGTATATGTAGAGTATGTGAGAACATTAAACTACCCTTAAAAAGGGGCCCTGTCACATATTATGAGTTTCTTTTTGTTTTTTTGAGTTTTTACAACTAGTGGCTCGTTTTTTTCTTCAGTATTACTCAATATTGTTGAGTATTAGGCTATGTTTCCATGGCAACCTGAGGTGACACAAGTAGGATTTATTTTTTTGCCAATTTTCGACCTGTATCTGATCTTTTCATTACACTCTGAACAACACAGATCAGATTTTTTTCAAATCTTTGCTAAATCTAAACCTGTACCTCGTTAACTCTCGACAAATATCACTGTTCTGCTTCTTCCTACGCGGAGGCTGAAAAAAAAACGAACAATCAAGGTGTATAATTATGCGGAGAGCAGTCTTTCTTTTTGATGTTCTTGCAAACATTGCGTTATTATCGCGTTGGAAAAGAAATGATTGAGAGATTGCAAGAAACGCTCCAGCACTATCATCCGTGTTTATTTCCCTAAACACAGAGCAATATCGCTACTTGTGCATGCAGGACACTTAAGTTGCATGAATGCAGTTAACACAGCAGATCACATGCAAGTCGCGAATATTTGGAAATGTAGACGATCACAGAAAACATTCTGAAATAAAAGGGAATGAGCATTAAGGCCTGCACTGTGAACCTAGCCTAAGATGTTTAAATCATTCACTGATTTACTATAACTAGGCAGGAGCCTTATTGTCAAGCTTGATGTTTAAGCAACAGGCATCTTTCCTGTATTTAGTTTATTTTCCCGTTATTTTGTAAATTCTGGTTCTCAGCTCTGCCTCCAGCTCTGCCTCCATCCAATAGCTTTTCCAGCGTTTTGTGTTTCCTCTTAATTCAGCTCTGTTTTTTTAAACTTCCACACTAAAGATTGTTTTTGTAAGTTCTACTTAATAGCACTCAGTATGATGTGTTCAGGTTTTTACTTTTACAAGCTGATTTATTTTTTTTTTAGTGTATCAACAGTGCAGATATCTTCTCACTCTTTTAAGTATAGTTTTTTGGTTGTTTTTAGATATTTTTTTTTCTTTAACTCCTAATTCTTGATGATCAGGTTTCTGGAAGGCCACCTCTGGATCCTGCGCCAGCCCCCTGCTCGTCCTGGTGAACTCCAAGAGCGGGGACAACCAGGGCGTCAAGTTCCTCCGCAAGTTCAAGCAGCTCCTGAACCCGGCTCAGGTCTTTGACCTAATGAATGGAGGACCGGAGCTGGGGTGTGTTTTTGTTCTCATAGCCCTCACGTTTAAACCCTCCATGTCAATCTTCTCATGCCATCTCTCTCTTTGCTCGCAGGCTGCGGCTCTTCCAGAAGTTTGTAACATTTCGTATTCTGGTGTGCGGGGGTGACGGCAGCGTGGGCTGGGTGCTCTCCGAGCTGGACAAGCTCAATCTCCATAAACAGGTGAGAACAGGGATGAGAAACAAGGAGGAGAGGAGGAGGAGAGGGCAAAGGGCAGGTTGATAGAATATTCTTATGCATAATAAGTCTGCAAAAAGTGCTGACGGGGCAGAGAAATCACCCACATACCCGATGGAGTGGAATACAAAGAAGATTCACTTTTATACGTCGGTAAATTCATTTCACACCTTTCAGCTCGATTCGATAAAACTACAAAGTGCTGCTCAGAAATATGCTTCCTTTCTAAATTTTAGGTGATAGATGAATCATCGGATGACAAAAAACTTCAATCGATTTCAGAGAAAGAGGTTTAGCTGTCAAGTTCGGGTAGTTTGTATATTTTTATAATTCACAGATCAAGAGAAATACACACAGGTTCTACTCTACACATTGAGTAGAACCTGACATTTGAGGGGAATAAAATAATTATGTAAATTTTTGGCATAAAAAATACTTTTTTAGATCTTTTTAAAACAAAACTTTTAAATGAACCTGACATGATGCATAATTGTTAATATCATATAGCTTATTTAATTAAAATACATAACGGTCAGGCTTATGTATTTTGAAGTAATAAGGTAAACTTGATCAAAATTGATACTAATAATTTTATTTATTTCAAATGCATAAAGTGTATTTGTTGGAATTGCATAATAATCCGGTTAGCTTTATATAAACGTTATATATTTAAAACAAATACACTAATAAGTGTTCATTTTGATCAATATATACCTTATGTATTCAGCGTAAATAAACTTGAAATTCAATAATGAATTTCCAGCTTGTACGTTTATTTAATAGCTTTTTTAAATTGTCTAAAAACAACTAAATGGGAATTCGTTAATAAAAAAACTTTCTTTGATCTTTACATTTGGGTGAATTATTTTTGTGACTTTAGGCATCAATGCTGTCCTGGTATAATTCTGGCTGAATATTGGACCTTGCTTCCTATTAGAATTAGTGGGGATGATTTAGATTGGATGTCTTTTATCCACTTTACACTTTTCTTAAGAGATTTGGTAAAAAAAAATCTTCAGAACACTAGCATTAGCCTGTTTTATCCAACCCAAACTCCCTTTTCAAGTGTATTTGACGGTGTATGGGTAAACTGTCCCGTTATTTGTTTATGGGAAGTTCAAGAATATGAAAAGCAATCCACTGGACTTGGTTTTCCTAGTTTGAAGACGTTTCGTTTTCCATCCAGGAAGCTTTTTCAATTCAAAATGTCTGGAATAGCGTTGAGTTTGAGGTTTTATACAGCAGCCCAACAAAACCTTGTTTTTATGTTTAAAACATCAGGGTTTCCACCGGTCATTAAAAATCATTAAAAGTCATTAAATTGTTATTTTTTAAAATAAGGCCTTAATTGGCCTTACAATTCATTAAATGTGTTTATTGTGGCATTTAAAATGCTTTCTTAAAAAAAAATTTTTTATAAAAACTATTTCGTCAGACGTATTATATCACGATATATTTGCGTGGAACTGCTTCCAGTTGATCGCAAAGACGTATGTTCGGAAAAGAAGCTTGAGTTGGAGAAAAAGCTAGAGAATGGGGAAGAATGCCAATTTCAACGAAAGTGGTTGGAAAACGAGGAATTCGGGGCATGGCTGCAGCCTGTTGATGGCTACCTGTTGGTGGCATTAAAATAATTTCTAGGAGCATTAAAAAGCATTAAAAAGCATTAAATTAGAGTTATTCATTCCTGTATAAACCCTGAACATGCAAATTGGAACAAAGGGGTCCACCCCTTTAGAATGGGGGTCATTGAAAAGGCATTTGATCGCGTTGAGTGGCCATATTTGTTCTACACCATGAGAAAATTTGGCCTGGGGGAAAATTTTGTTAATTGGATCAGAATACTTTACAGCGAGCCTTGCTCAGCTGTTATTACCAATGGTTTAAGATCGCCAAATTTCCGGGTGCAAAGGGGAACACGCCAGGGCTGCCCTCTATCGCCCCTGCTTTTTGCTCTGGTTATGGAGCCTCTGGCGGAGGCGGTGCGGACCCATGAGGGGATATGTGGTCTGACCATTGGGGAGAGGCAGCACAAGATTACTTTATACGCTGACGACGTGCTCATATTTCTATCTCAGCCTGAGGATTCTATCCCACATCTCATAGAGACCATTAACAAGTTTGGGGATTTCTCGGGCTATAGAATCAATTTTAACAAATCAGAGGTCATGCCACTAGGCACATTAAAACATCAACCATCTATACCTGCTCCATTTCCTTTCACTTGGTCCCCAGAGGGATTTTCATACCTGGGAATAAGAATTACCCCCTCATTTGACAAAATGTATAGGGCCAATTTCACCCCCTTATTTGAACGTATTCGGCTGGACCTTGAAAGATGGAGAGTGCTGCCTCTCTCCTGGTTGGGCCGCGTGTCTCTTCTAAAAATGAATGTCTTACCCAGACTTTTATATCCCATACAAATGATTCCAGTTCTTTTTCTCCGTAAAACAATTAAGGCTCTAAGCGGATGGCTAAGTTCTTTTATATGGGCGGGAAGGAAACCACGCTTAAAAATTTCTACACTGTGCCTCCCGGCCGAGTGTGGGGGCCTTGCTCTCCCAGACATACGAAGGTATCAGATCAGCGCTCACATGCGTGCTGCTGCTGATTGGACAGGGGAGCCTACTTCTCTGTGGCTCGATATAGAAAGCTCTATGTCCAGGTTCCCTTTAAAAAATTTACTTTTTTTGGGAAAAAACTATGCCATAAAGACGTACTGCAGTAACCCCATTACTATTAACACTGTGAGGGCATGGCAAATGGTCCAAAAACTTGAGGACAGGTTCCAAGTTATATCACCTCTTACACCTATTTGTGATAACCCGATGTTTCTGCCAGGCGTTATGGACTCTGGCTTCAAAACATGGTCAATAAAAGGAATTCGTACGCTTTCTGACTTGATGGAAGGTAACACAATATTATCTTTCTCGCAACTATTGGATAAATATGATATTGGGAGGCAGGATTTCTTTCGCTATTTACAAATGAGAGATTTCATTCAGAAAAAAACCACACTCGATGTGGACCAAACAATCTCAGTGTGTGAAAAACAGCTTTTTTCCTCCAGGGTAAAAACTCCAATTAAAACCTTTTACAACTTGCTGAAAGAGCACCCCTTACCAAATACATTTCTCCTAAAAGAAGTTTGGGAAAGGGAATTGCAGTGTACAATAAATCAGGAGGGATGGGATGAGGCCTGGAAGAATGCAAAGTCTCTAAGTATTTGCAATCGGGTTAAGGCCATACAATTTAAAATTTTACACCGTGCGCACATTTCTCCTTCTCAGCGAAGTAAATTCAAAACAAGCCTCTCACCATTGTGTTTGAAATGTAGAGTGGATATTGGTAGCCTCACACATTGTTACTGGTCCTGCAGAGAAATTCAACGTTTTTGGCATACAATAAAATGTGAATTAGATAAGATTTTCTCTATGGGCACACAATTCAACCCATTGTATTTACTACTTGGTTTAACCGACACCGGTATTATTGGTAAACATCAGCATCAACTCTACAGAATGCTTACTTTTTGTGCAAGAAAATGTGTGGTACTGAATTGGATTTCTGACAAGGCACCAAGTAAATCACAATGGCTAAATATAGTACTGGACTATATATCTTTGGACTATTTGACGAGCAAACTGCACGATAAAGAAAATAACTTTTATAAGGTTTGGGAACCTTTTATTTCTTATGCAGGATTTGAGACCTCGGCTCTTCTCCGGAGAGGATTTATAATTTGAGGATGTCCGAATTGTAAACATCTGAAATGTTCTGGTTCGGACCATTTGTTTTTCATTGCTGTCCCTTTTTTTTTTTTTTTTTTTTTTTTTTTTTCTCCCATCTTTTCTCTTTGATCGGTATGTATATGTGCGTGTGTGTACGCATATGCTCGTATATAGGTATTTAACTTTAAGAGCTGGATTGTTCTTTTGTTCTTGTATTGTATTTGTTTGTTAAAACGTTAAAAACCAATAAATATAATTATAAAAAAAAAAAAAAAAAGAATGGGGGTCATTTGGCTTCTTTTGTTAGACTGCAATCCCCCATAGCTGTCTAAGTGTCTTAAAGGTCGGTGGTTTGAATTAAAAAAGCGTCCTGGATGGGAACCAAAACGTCTTCAAAATTGGAAACAAATTTTTTTTTTCTGACCTGGATGACTGAGAACATTCACCAGCAATATGAAAAGTAGTTTTCCTTCTTAAATTGTGTGCAGTTTATTCAATAAATCAGTACTAAAGTACCAAAACTGCTCACAAAATGATGCAGCCACCAATGTAGTTAACAGCAGGTTTAAAAGCCTCACTTTTGACTCCCACAAATGCACTTCCATTCCACTATGTTGGTCATGTATCTTCCAGGACATGATTGTTCTTAAACGTTCTTACCCATTTTCAGGCAGTTTGGTCGAGGTAGTTGAGGCCTAAAAGCTGCCAATCCATTTAAATTAAGCACAGATTCTGAGAGGTCAAAGAGATGTTTGTTGCTTTATGTTTACTATCAGTGGAAAGAAAGGAGGCTGCAGCAGCCCTGACTGTGTAAGCCAATTGTTGTGCTATTAATTAAGCCATATTAATGCTGTTCCACAGCTGCACTGATATGGTTTTAATTTAGGATTAGCCTTCTGTTAATTGATAATTAGCAGCATGTGAAATGAGATTTGAACCACCTTAAATAAACATAACTGATCAGCGTCTAAGCTTAATTTCACGGCGTCTCCTCAGTGTCAGCTGGGAGTTCTTCCCCTGGGAACGGGAAACGACCTGGCTCGCGTTCTGGGCTGGGGAGGCCTGTGTGACGACGACGCTCAGCTGCTGCAGATCCTGGAGAAGCTGGAGAGAGCCACCACCAAAATGCTGGACCGGTAAGAACCGGGATGTTTAACGTCACGTCATTCCTGCCGAGGTCAACGACAGGTTACGTCCACAGTGACCCGGCTTGTGTCATTTTTTATGACTCATTCTTTCCAATAAAATGTAAAAGATAAGAGAATCTCTTTGCAGATTAGTTTAAGGTTACCTGTGAGGGAAGGGTCATGGTTATCTGATGCCACAAGCTGTTGGAGAGATGACCTTCTAAAAAAATTGATAAGAAAATGTTTGTTTTTTTATTGCTATAATAATCAGTAGACTGGAACGATCCAAACTATTGAACTCCACCCAAGTTCAAAGCTTCAGAGCAGAGCAGCTGGTTCCAGTTAAAGCCTTACACTGTTTGAAAGAATCTTTTTAGTTTTTTGTTACACAAAAAAAATTTGTAGAACATCCAACCTTGTATTTCATTGTCATTTTAAAAAAAATTTTATTTATAACTGCCTGTTTGAAGTTCTCAGACTGTCGAGTAGTCCTTGACTTTAGTGGCTCATTTTTTTATCTTCATTTTAAAATCAGTCAAATTTTATTTGTATGGCACTTTAGAACAACACCAGGAATACCAAAGTGCTTCACAGAAAGATAAAAACATTTAAAAAAAACAAAAAAATCCTGAGCATAAATCATTGAATTCTAAGTATTAAAAGCCATTTTGAAAAAAGAAGTCTTTAATCCGGACTTAAAAAGGGGGCAGATCTGTGAGAGCCTGCTGAATGAGGTGCAGGCTGTTCCACAGTTTAGGTGCGGTAACCACAAAGGAACCATCGCTCCACTGTTTATACGAGATCTGGGAACATCCAGAACCATCTGATCGGTAGACCGGAAGCTCTGCTGGGGCGATGCATGCTCAACATCTCAGTTAAACATAACAGAGCGAGACCATGAAGGACAATTATGAAAATTTTAAATTTAAAAGATAATAAAACAGGGTTATCAAAAAAAGCCAGATGAGGAGGTATATTTATTAGTGTTGCACAGATGCCATTTTTTGGCCCTGATATCTTGCTTTGCCGATACCGATACCATCTGTTTGGAATTGATATGTGTGTGTATATATGAAGAACTGCAAACTACTTGGATGTAAAATAATTGCCATCATGGCTTTTTCAAGCTGCTTCCTACCTTTGTGAAGCAGGAAAAATACTAATACAAAGAGAATCCAGTAGAACTTTTTAATACCTACCAGGAGTGGGTGACAATAGTTGAATAAACTTTTGACTCTATGGTATCAGTGCCCTATTTGTTGGTACTCGCAAACACCTATAGCACCATTTTAGTGCTGGATCGGGGCCCCACCTGATACTAGTATCTGTATCGGTGCAACACTAATATTTATTAGTAACTAAAAGGTGTAAACTTGGGCATATTAATGGGGAAATTATTTAAAAGTTAAAGGTATTGAGAGTGATCTTTTATTTCTGGGTGGATCATCTTAATAAGTGGTCCTCCTAATTGTCAATCATTCTAGTGATATATTTATGTTAGACCGTCCTTCGTGCTCGTCCCGTTAGATATATTTTTTTTGCAGGCGCACTTTCAGAAGTAAATGTGTGGTGAGCTATGGTTTCAGACAGTCATTGAAGCTCACCTTTCTCACCGCGGTTCTACGAAGTATATGAGAAGAAAAGGAAGGCCCCCGAAGAGGCAGATATATCCCAGAACACTTTGTGCGGAGAGTTCTCCTCCCCAAACATTACGGGATTTGCTGTCACCGAGGCCAGCTGTCGCCATAGCCTGGCGCTACCCGACAGCGGCGACTAATAACAAAGATGGCGCAGGCACAGCACTGGACCAATAGGGAAGTGATCATCTGTCCGAACAGTAAGTTAACTGAGTTCAATATAAAGTTTGCAATCTATATAGTGATTGAGGGATTTAGGGGTTAGGGCGGACGTTCGGGGATAGTAAGCCTGTTTGAGCTATGAGAACAGCAACTTTTAAACAGGGCGTGCATGAGAAGAAACGGGCTCGTGCACGCACTCGCATGCGCATTTTTATATTTTTTTTAAGTGGAGAGTGAGGGTCTTTTAAAAAATTCGAGAAAATCCTCCAAAATACCTTTAATAAGGCTTCTGTGACAGGGAGTAAATTTAAGGTATTACTTGCTCATTTGTCGTCTTATAATCGTGAATCGTGGAAGTGAACATACCTTAGAAATACCTGAGGGATCATGCTGACTTCCAAACAAAGGGACATTGTTCAGCCATGCAAGTATCCAGCATGCTGACTTAAGGGAATCATCTCAGATTCTACTGTTGGATGAAGTCGGATCAACTTTATCACATTGCAGTGAGGTTTACATTTAAAACAGATGTTATTTAATGGAGAAAAAAGGTACTTTTAGAATGTCCTTTCCTGAAAGAAACATTTCTTCCTATTTCGTTGAAGTGCAGTGGAAATATGCTGAACTGTTATAGGAAAATTTTAAAATAAATAGCAATGCAAAAAGATGACGCGTTAAAGATAATGACACCAGGTTGGGTTCAGAAAAGAGCGGCACTATTTCAGACCTTCTTTCTTTGCCTTCAGAGTTCAATTTTTCAAAGTTTTTTAACTTGGATTTATATGAAAAACGTTCCTAATAAAAGCAACAAAATTAAATTTTGCAATTCAAAATTGGGCTTTTTTTGTCCGTTGTTCTAAATCTTTGTCTTTTTTAATAATGCAAAAAAAAAAAAAATATTGTGAAAACATAACGTAGGATTTTAAGAATCTATATTTTTAACTGGTGGCAGGAATGAAAGAACTATACCAAAGGTAAAATACTTTTAGTGACCAATAAAACTGTTGTTTTAGATTCTTTGCAACAGATATTTTGTTTTAGAAATAAAGGACATGACTAAGTCAGTGATGACAGCAGGTTTCTAGTGAGCTTGAAGAAAATATTGTTTGCTCCTAGTTTCAACTGCCGTCAAGTTTTTCTTGATCTCCTGTCGGCGGCATCAGACACTGCTTGTCTTTCAATCCCCCGCCGCTGATAAAATGTTTCCCGTTAGGCTTATCAACGCTGTTTATGTTTTCAGATGGAGCGTGATGACATACGAGGTGCCCCCGACCGGTAAACAAACGCCGACAGGGAAGGAGGATGACAGCCACGACTCTCCTCTGCAGGTAAATTAGCCTGCAGCACTTTGAGGAGGCTGTCTGCTTTCCACAGATAGCATCTATGAAAACAGAGCTCAGAAGAAGCAAATAGAAGCCAAGGCAATCGGACTGAAAACAGAAAAAATAGATTAAAAAAAAGCACTCTTTGCTGCAAATATGAAGATGAGGTAATTTAGAAACATGTTTATATTTACATGATTCCTCTTTTAAAGTCGTAGGGAAATCATATTTAAATGTCAAATCATTCTGGCTTAAACATGTATATAAATGTACTCTTTATCAGATGATATTGTCCCATAAGTTCTGTTTTTAAAAAAATCCTGTCTTAAAATATTTGGGGTTTTTTCCCGTTACTTTAAGCAGCCCAGTTAGTTATATGTCAGCTTGTATACCTTAATTCGGCCAATCATATATCAACGGTCATCTGTCAATCAAACTTTTTGGTCATAGCATTTTGATTCATATGTCGCAGCTAATATACGCAACAGTTGAAATAAGAATAATTTCCTTTCCCATTGAGTTCTGTCCCAGTGTTCACAGGGATGGACGTCTGTGTCTTCAGCAGGTGTAGAGCTAACAGAACTGGCAGCGTTGCGAGGCAAGGACTCAAACATGTACGGCTGGAAGCCTTCTACACCAAACCAAGCTTCTGCTTCCTCCTCTAAATACAAAATGTATGAGGAGGAGACTCATCCACGACCTCCGACACAAAACTCTCCTCCTCTTGCATGTTTCCTCTGTCCATAGCGTTCCTTGACAGTGTCGTTTCTAAGTCACCAATTTAGTGCTACTTGGTCCCAATAGAATTTCCCATTTGGAACCTACTAGCGCTAAGTTGCTAACTGGTTAGCAAGATGCTTCCAACAAACCGACCACAATCAAACCTGCTTGTGAACCTTCCACCACAATGATCCCGCCCCTTAAAAATCAACCAATCACATTCACTTTATTCACTAATATAAAGTCGTGCACCTCTCTGGGCTGGGTAAAAAAATCGATTTAATCAATTTTGAATCGATTCCTTTACATTTTTGCAAAATCGATGTCTAGGGAATGAGATCGATTTGTTTTATAGTGATGCGCGTGACGTTCACATTCAAATGAGCAGGAGAGATGAATTCAAGATGACTTCAAGCCAGACACCTGCAAATATAGCCAATAGGTCGACTGAAGACATGAGGGCTGACCAGCAAACACCCTGTAGTTGCTATAGACAACGCTGCAAATATGGTTTGTGCAGGGAAGATAATGCAGCTCATGCATGTCTGCTGTGTCCCCGCTGTGTCACGTCTGCTCGCTCGAGTGAGGCTTAACTTTTTCACTTTTCACAAACAAGTTTGCACTAATGAGACAGTTTTGTTCACATCTCAAGTTTAAACTGTCTGTTTTACTAGTTTGCACTTTGTGTTTAATGTGACAGGGAAAATTAAAATACATGAGTATATTGAAACACAGTTGAACCACTTACATTATTGTAAAAAGAGATCGAATTGAAATTAATCGATTTAGAACTGTATTAATCAATATCGAATCGATTCAGGGCTTGGGGAAAATACCCAGCCCTTTTCTCTACAACTTTAAAACCAATTCTTTTTTTCACCAGCTGAGATGATAAGTTACAAACTGTAATTTAATATAAAGCATGCTTTGTTAAAGCAAACCATCAGGTGTAAAAATGGGGGTTGGTCAAATCTAGACATGTGCTGTACAATTTAAACCATTAAAGCTCTTTTCCTTTTTTGGGAAGAGGTAAGATAAATTCACCCTTTATTGCAGCAGAATAATTTTCAATAGAAGAATTCAGCGTAATTTAAGCCAAATTAATTTAAAAAAATTCCAGTGGAGAGCACATTTATTAGTATCATTTAAAAATCACTTTGAAATAATTAGAATTTCTCATGAATGATTCCTTCTTCAGTTCCTCTCTGGTGTATAAATAGGCCTGACACAGAGCCATCAGTCTGTATGCGGAATGAAGACCAGTATTTATTGACCTAGCAACCACACAGAATCTGAGGAGAACAAATGATGAACATATATAGCTCTTAAGGCTGATTTATACTCAGAAACCAGGTCGTCTGCAGAGAGGAGAGAAAGGAGGCATCTGATTGGTCAGATCTACATTCACTCTACACTATGTGTATTTCCTGTTTGTATGACGTATGTATGATGATGTATGATGTGTAGAACCACTCATGAAGTTGGACCAGCTAGAAGAGCGAGGTGTGCAAGAACGCAGGGACCTTTTTTCCACCTGGATCCCCGCTCTTTTTCGCCCTCATGTCCCTCCGTTGTCGCACAAACTTGCCCCTTGCATTTATCCACTTCCTCACCGCCTCGGCCATATCTAGACCTACAGCTAGTTCCTGATTGTCCCTCTTGCGTTGTGGCGTTGAATAACATAGCGCAGACCACGCTTAAATATTGGGCATAAATCAAAAATACCTGTGTCAAGCTCACTGTGACACACTGCTGCAGGAGCATAACCAGGCATTTAATATCTCTTAATAACAGTTAGAAACAGAGTAAAACAGGAATGACCCAGTTGTGAGTGAGGAAAAGAAGGAAAAGCCTTTTCTTTCCTACTGTTATAGATGTAAACATCTACATTATGAACTAGGACTAACTGGAATGGTAACATTTGAACAGATCTGACTGGAAAGGAGGTTTTAAAAAAACCAAACCTGCGGGTGGGTTTGGTTTGAACCAGGTAATAAATATGTAAATGAATAAATATGAATCTGTAATCCTCTGGTCCTGTTTTCTCTGAAGGCCATAGGATTAACATCCTGAACTCTTCCAAATGTCAGAATATTTTAGACCTAAAATGTGATCGACTCAGACACAGTGAAAAAAAGGTTATTATTTGGTCTTTGAACAAATAATGATCCAAACGTACATTTAGATCAGCGCCGAAGCACAAAATCAGATTATTTTCCTTTTCCATCAGAGCCTTCAGACAGCTTGATAATCTGAACAATCCCATCTTTCACATATAGTGAAAAGAAGTGTAGATAAAAGATATAGTTTTAGATGTATGATTCTATAAATGTTCTTCTCAGTTATCCACATTTTTAGATAGTTAATTTATGTTTTTAATACATTTTAATATCTGTTTTATTGATATGCTTTACATTCTTTATTTTCTTTTCTGCAAAACCGTAATTACTTATTTATATTTTCATAACAATCTTCTGTACAAAAAGGTTCATAACTTCATGAAGAAATAAAAGAAAAATGCTTCTTATTATGGAGGAGAATGAATAAGAACATAATGTCACTACAGAATTAAAGTCACAGGCAAAATGCTTTGCAAAATCTATAGTTTCCAGTTTTCCTTCTTGCAGCATGTTAGTGCTAAACAGCAAGGTGTTTCCTCCCTGGTTTACTGGAGGCTTCCTCTGTCCATGTTTCAGGTCCACATCACTCAGTATGCAGACTCCGTGGCCTGCCACCTGGCCAAGATCCTGGACTCAGACAAGCACAGCGACGTCATCTCCTCTGCCAAGTACGTGCCACGAATGCCTGCATTCAAAACTAAACAAGAACCCGATTGAACCCTAGAAACAAAGAGGAAACAGGTGAAAGAGGATAAAGATGCTTTAAATCCAGGGGCGGAGAAAGAAAAGGAACGATAACTAGAAAAAGAGTCCTCACAGGCGCTCAGCAGGAATCGATTTTCTGCTCTGGTCCTGTTTTAAGTGCAAACATGCACTTAAGAGTCCGAGTGTGTGCACAAGTGGAAGGGAGGGAGAGGGATGAGCCATTATTTAGGGCTCATCCGAGTGCATTAGTTCACAGCAGTCAGTAAGAAAGAACTTCACCCGCCATTACGGAGCACTTTTCTTCACCCTTCTGTTTGTTGCATTTAACCTGATGAGTTTAAGACATTAGATACCTTACTTAGGAAAGTACTCCAGTTTTCCGAGGGCGTTTAGTCAGTCGCAAAGTGATTTTAGCTGTGTTCAGAGTCTCATAAAAGCCTGTCAGGTGTTGATATTCACTTTACTGTAATAAATGAGGGGAGGTAAGGGAAAGCTGCTGTCAGTCTCTAATGGATGCCTTTGAACATTAACAAAGACCTTCTGCTGGCTAAAAGGGTTCACACTGATGAGGATGACGGACAAATTGGAGGAGAGAGCCTTAACTGCATTTAGTTTGAAGACCTTGATACATTTTAAAAGGCATTTGCTACATATTTCCTCCAGAAATTTAATATAAATAGCCACAAATCCAAAATCAGTTTAGGGAAAAGATGAAGCACTGGAGGCACAGCTCGTTTCAGATGATCTAATGTTTACGGAGAGCATTGTGAGTTTGGAGAAAGCTCCCTGCTGAGTCACACCGCAGCAGCAGTAATGTACCAGATGTGAGTAAACAGTGACTGTGAGGAGGCGACGGAGCTGCCTGGTAGGTAGGCAGCAGCCAGTCGCCACCACCAGCATCATGACTCATCAAATCTTCAGCATGTCAATCATCCGCTCAGCGCTGAGCCCTAACCTTGATCTGATCTCTCCGCCTCCCTCACCTGTGTCGGCAGGTTTCTGTGTGGGACGGTGAACGATTTTGTGGCAGAGGTGGGGAAGGCGTACGAGAGAGCCACAGAGAACAAGGAGGAGGCAGATGCTATGGCCAAGAAGGTAAAATGTTTAATTATGTGTGTATGTTATGTAAGCGCTTGTATAACAGCAGGTGGTGGGCAGATGTAGGCGTGTGTGTTTGAAATGGAGGAGGAACAAAACACAGCAGCAGATCACGTCTTATTTATCGCTGCTTTCCAGTAGTTTTGTCACCCATCATGCTTTCCCTGAATTATTTACATATGCAATCTGCAGAAGAGCATATGTTTTATTGTTATATGTAAACTGTAAAATAGATCAAAACTGAGAAAAGCGGTTTTCACTGATTGCAAAATATAATAAAAGATGGTGAGGATTTTAAGTCATGAAGGTCATAGTCATTCCATTAAAAAAAAAAAAAAACATTAAAAGCAATCCACTGGACTTTTTTTCCAAGTTTGTAGATTTTTCGCTTCCCATTCAAGAAGCTTTGTTAATTATTTTTTTTGGCATATAAGCAGAGTTGCATCTTTCAACTATGATCTTGTTCTGTATGCTAGCACATTTAGCTACTTCTTCTGCAAAAAGAAGCTAAATTATTCAATGTATTGTGTTTTTAGTTGCTATTTTTTATTTAGAAAAAAATAAAGAGAAAAATTAGGAAATAAGGAATAAGGAAATACATATCTTATTTTTAAAAAAAAGCACATTCAGCACCTGAAATACTATTACAACATTTGTTTCTCTGAACCCGACGCTTTATCATAAAAGCAACAAGTGCATTTTCTTTCCTAAAAGGAATAGTCTGATTAAAGTCCTTCCTGTGTTTTCTGTCCGTGAAACAACTTTTTAATTTTTCTTTAATTCCTCTTTTGCTGATTAGTTTCTCTTTTGGACTTAATTGAAGATGATATCAAAAAAATGAGATAAGGATGAAATGATATTGAAAAATCAGAATATTAGCATCCTGATAGAAACACTGCAGTTAATCCATAGGTTGATATTTAATGGCTCAGCTGTTCTCATCATTATTGTTCTTGACTATTGTTCTCTGGTTTATTAAAATCACCTCATTAAGACTTTTTTATAATGCAACACTACAAAATGAGTCAAAGTATGTATTATTTATGCTAATATCGTATCGGGTCACACATCTGTATTGGTCAGTAACTCAGGGCTGCAATATTCAATATGGTATCTGAAATAAAAATGCTATAACCTGGCATCCCTGTATATTTTATTTGTTTTCCCCTAATAATTAATAGTTATATGTTTGCATTTGTTTTTAACAAAATTATATTTATTTGCTGAGGGGACGAGAAAAGATAGTTTTACATTCTCATGGCTGATCAGACAAAGCATTGATGAACCAATTTAATGCGCCCAGATGAGAAGAAAACAAAACATGTTTGTTAATAAAAATCTAGCTTATCGAAAACAGCATAACTTGACAAAAGGATGATTGTTATTAATGATTGGATTAGGATTAAATGATGTAGATCAGGGCGTGCTTTGGTGGCGCAGTGGTTAACGCACACAGCCCATGTACGGAGGCCTTAATCGCTGACCCGGGTTGGAATCTGACCCCTGGTCCTTTGCTGCATGTCTCTCCCCCTCGCTCATACCCCCTCTCCTGTCAGCTTACTGTTGGAAAAACGAGCTACTAGTGCAGCAAAAACTCGAAAAAAATTTATTAATTTATGTAGATTAAGATTATAATCAGGTAGGCAGTGTTGCAGTTTCTTTTTCACACATCTAACTTATTGATCAGTTGTGGTTTTTTTCTATCTTGTGTTGCTCTGGTGATTTTGTTTGCAGAAAAGTGGCATTTTTTTCTATTAACAGTGTCTGAAAATTGGTTTGATTTCAGGCTTGTGCTTCACCCTATATTTTCAGCCAGAATATGCATTTAAAAGTTGAATACATCGTCACTGATGTAAATGCTCTAAACAACCAAATCTACTTTATTCTCTCTTTGTGTAATTCTATAGTAATCTTGGACGCGAGTGTTAGTAGAAATCTGCCTGATCTTTTCCTCTCTGTTTATGTCCTCTCCCAGTGCGCACTGCTGAACGAGAAACTGGATTCGCTGGTAAAGGCCTTAAGCGAGGAAGCAGAAGCTCAGGTAGAACAAGCACCAGAAACACATGTTGTAATGAAATAAAGTAGGACTGTTTTCATTTACACAGAAGGTTTACTGCCCTAACCCTTCAATATGATCACATCACTTGGATTTTATTTTGATTTTTGCCAATTTAAACTAAGAAACCTCTGCAGTTTATTGGGATTTTATGCCACAGGCTAAAACCAATTAGAGAAAAAAACTCAGCAACTCTTTTCCCCTTTTTATAACAGAAAGTCTGCAGGATGCATGTGTGATTAGCCCTTCAATACTAAGAAATTCCCCTTGCCTTTTCTTCTTTAAAAGCTTAAATTCATATCATCCTAGAATATCATCCCAGAATAGCTTTGTTAAACTTTTGCCTTTGACACACATGAAGTAACTTTGATCTGAACCACTCAGGTGGAGCATGGAGCATTTGTATTAAAGCTGAATTGAAAGAAATATATACTTTATTTATATAATGAGGCAATTTCTAAGGGGAACTGGTAACACTGGATTTTATTCACGTGCATCCAAGGAAATACATTTGAATTCAGTCCTAATTAAATAAAAATCCAAGTCTGTGGTCATAATGTGACAATAAGTACTGCAAACTAAATAAACAATTCTATTCAGTTTATTTATATAGCGTCAATTCACAACATGTCATCTCAAGGCACTTAACAGTTCACCAGATCATACAGTCAAATTGATTTTCTGTCCAAGGTAAACCAGTTGATTGCATTGAATCGTTGACTCTAAGGCAATCCCGCACACTTAGCATGCTTGTAGCGACAGTGGAGAGGAAAAATTCCCTTTTAACAGGAAGAAACCTCCAGCAGAACCAGGCTCAGTGTGAGCGGCCATCTGCTGAGGCCGACTGGGGTTCAAGGAGACAGAAGCAGAGATACAAAAAACAGCTGTAAAAGGCGGCCCCATCCAGAAAACACACAGCCAGGCAGACGAGCTCTGAGCCAGCTACCATGTCAGAGGATTAAGACAGCACATCCAGCCAGTCACAGTCAGAGAAACAGGACTACACTGAAAAACAGGCCGATCTCCAACATCTATAAACAAGGTTGTTGATGGAAGCAGCACAGCTGATGTTTCTTTCCAGGATGGCGTCACAGCCAAACAGGAACAGACGAGGCAAAGCTACTCTGAGGAAAAGCAGAGAGAGCATAACGTTAGAGATTGAACTAATAGATACTGCAGAGTGGGAGAATAGAGACAGAATGAAGCAGAATGATGAAATAGGGATCCCTATGTCCTCAAGAAGTCTAAGCCTATAGCAGCAAAACTATAGAGATAGTTCAGGATAACTTGAGCCACTCTTAGTATGTGTTTCCTTATGGAACCTAAACATCAAAACACATGATGCTACTTTATCCTAAATAGATTAAGCCCTCACATATCAGCAGGATTTCCAACTCCTGCTCTGCGAATTCAGAAATGCAGGAGAGTTCAGACCCTGATCCTGCAGCTGATCTAACACTAAATGGTTTCAAAGACACACAGTTTCAAATAAGGAGGTATTCTGTGGTTCTACATGTGCTTATAAAATCAAACACTGACTTCTCTGCTTTTATCCAGGTGGTGCCTGCAGGTTCAGCACCCAGCCAGGAGAGCGGCAGCTCCAGCCCTGGCGAAAGCGGAGGAGAGTCAGGCTCAGAAGGCAAAACGTACCGATCCAAAGAGCAGCTGATGCTCCGAGCTAACAGCCTGAAGAAAGCCCTGAGGCAGATCATCGAACAGGCGGAGAAAGGTAACAGCAGCCAGAGCGCTGCTTTAATTTATACAGTTTGAGGTGCTCACTGACCCAACGTCATGGTTTCAGTGGTGGATGAGCAGAACAAACACAGGCAGGTCCAGAGGATGCCATCTTCGTCATCCATCAAGAGGGAGAACAGTGAGGAGCTGAAGGATGCTGAACAACGTAAGTCATATTTTAATCTCAGTGAGGTGAATGCATTAGTCCTGAGATAATCTGCCTGATAAAACATGATGATTCTGTCCAGGGGGGCTGAGTCCCACCTCACCCATCGTCCTGGAGAAGCCAGAGAGCCTTAATACGGTCACCTTCAGCGAGGATACTGTGTAAGTGGGTTTGCTTTGATTTTTAGACCACAACCAGAAGCTTCACCTTTAATGGGACTTTAAATGAGTGAACCAGAACCAAAATTAAGCATAACTGGGCTGGGTATCAATCAAACATTTAGATTCCGGTACCAATACCGATATCGTCCCTTCGATATCGGTGCCTGAACGATATTTTTTTCAATACCAGTTTTATAATATCAATTCTAATAAAAAGAAAATTACATTAAATATTAAAGTAAAGAATCTTGACTTTTATTTTAAACTCAGATAATTCAATTCCAAGCACTCTTCTTACATAAAGATTATTTTCAGTGCAAAAGAAATGTTGCAAACAAGTGACAAGTGAGTGGTTATGCTTACTTTTAGATATTGAAGACCTTTTAACTTAGCAGTTTAAATTAAAAAAGATGAACGTATCTGCTCTCTCAGCAGTCCCGCTCTGAGGGTGTGGATGATGCTTGCACGCAGAGATACCTGGTTGCTGAGTTTATGCACCTATTAAGTTGAAGTAACGCTAACAAACGTAAACTTGCCTGTTGAAGACGAGTCCGGTGGTAGAGATTTTAAATCACTCCGCTCCGGTTTTTGTACCACACACAGGCTGCTAAGTGGAGGATGGCTGTGCTAGCTGCGGTCCGCTCTTCTTGCAGTCAAACACTGCAACTTTCCACTCTTAAAGTATCCCGTGCACCATTAGGCGCTTCATATAGTTGCCAGCCTTAGCAAAAATGTCTGCATGTATTGCGCACTATTCGCATCAATCTGCAATATATATAAATATTTCTAAAACAATAATAATAATACTGAAGCTTGCAACATGATGTGAATACATGTTTGCTTTAATTGAATTATTAAACAGCTGCATCTTTCTCTAGTCAATGCACAGAGAAGTGTGTGATGAATAACTACTTTGGCATCGGACTGGACGCAAAAATTTCCCTCGAGTTCAACAACAAGAGAGACGAACATCCCAAGAAATGCAGGTAAGGACAGCAGCTAAGTAGGATTCTGGTGTGTAGTCAGCGTCTAATTAGAGGAAACCAGAACCAGAACATTGTCTTCTGATGTCTAAATCTGCAGTAGTCGCACCAAAAACTTCATGTGGTACGGAGTCCTGGGGACCAAAGAGCTGGTCCAGAAGACTTACAAGAACCTGGAGCAGAGAGTCCAGTTGGAGGTCAGACAGACAAGCCTGTGAAAGTTTAATAGAGACAGTTTCCTCAAGTTTCCTCTGACACACTAAGGTCCTCTTCTCTGTTTCCACAGTGCGACGGCGTTCCCATCTCCCTGCCGAGTCTGCAGGGCCTGGCTGTTCTCAACATTCCCAGCTATGCAGGAGGAATCAACTTCTGGGGAGGAACTAAAGAGGACAATGTGAGCACCGCTGAAAAACCATAACTTCTCATGTTAAGTGGAAGCAGACATGCTGAGAGAGGACATGCAGACACGGCACCTTTTTATGCTCTTCCTGTTGATATTAGGGGCAAAGGATTTACTATAAAATGGATTTTCTTCTTTACAACTAAAGGATCATACTTTACATATTATAACTGTTAGCTTATTTTAGTGCAGCTCAGAGTTACAGCTGCAAACATCTGTTTCTCCATGTAGAAATGAAAAGAAACAGAGAATTTAATTTCAGTTTCTCTCAGGTTTTGAAAAGCGTGGAGAAGGAAAAGAAATATGGAAAATTGTTTTATCCCCAGAGAAGGACCACAAATGTTCAGTCCTTGCCTCCTCCCTTGCTTCCTTGTATCGTTCCTTCTTTCTTTTTTTTTTGCGTGCCCCACGTCTTTCCCTTCTTTCTTGATTCTCTTAATTTCCTCCATTTTTCCTTCCTTCCTTCCTTCCTTCCTGTTTTTTGAATGATTAAATCAAACTATTTAGGAATCCTATTAATATGAAGAATAAAGAGCCTTGTTTTGATGTATAACGATACCAGCTTTTCATAATAGTCAGTATAGATAATTATTGAGGAGTTCATTTGTTTTTCCTATTTGAAATGAGGATCCAGGAGAAAAAAAGGCTGAAATTTAAACAGTAACCCTAATTAACCTAACCTGACTCCACCAGATGGATTTGCTCCGCATATCCATATGGAAACCTTCTGTTGAAGTAATTTTGGGAAGGGGCAAAAATACTAGTTAGCTGATTGGCCAATGTTGGTGATAGACGGGCCAAATAAACCAATCAGATCAACGAAGCATATGATGTACTAACAGAGCGACGACGAAAACATAACCACAATCCAGGCTACTCTTGCCGAAACCAGTCGGGAGAAGAGAAAAAACATCTTTTCCTCTGAGAAAAGCCTCCAGAGCAGTGTTTTGCTCTTCTTTCAGTGTAATTCCGATAAAACTTGCTCGATAGCCACGCTAACGCTAGTTTCATTGGCTGAAGCCGCCATGTTCTTTAGACTGAACTGTCGCGCTTCTCGTTGCGTCACACCTCAACCCTCCTCAAAGCCAACGCTGATTGGATGTTCGTTTGGTGAACGGCTCCAAATTTTCTTCAACGGAGAGTCTCCAGACTGATTAGCAAGTGAAACCTTGAAAGCTTGCGAGATCAGGATGGTCTCACGAGGATATAATTAACCATGATCTTTCAAAAAAAGAGCTCAAGAGGCTAAACGTCCTCCAGAAAACTGTGCAGCTTTAAGAGTATGGTGGAATAAGAACCTTCTATTAGATGTATTTTCTATTGATGTCGATTAGGTGTCAATTGTGACACACATTGTTATTGTTTATAAGCACTAGCCAGTGAATGACATCAGTCATCCGAGTCATGATGACTGCAACAGGCCTGTTAACTTTTAGATTAAAAGCAATATAATTAGTAGGAGGCCAGGGAAGCCATCTTTGGAAAAAGAGAAACTGCCACAGTGGGAGAGGTCCTCTCTCAGCATCAATCAACCTGCTGTGAAACTCAGCCTACAAGCCGCCTCATCAGGACTTAGCAAAGGGAAACTATTAACAACAGCAATAGGCCTGCCAGCTTGAGAAACTCTGGTGATAAGCAGCAACCGTTGGTTCTTTTAGTGATCGATTCATCTTTTAAATATTTTTTTTTTCCCAAATTAATCAATTAAGCTAAAAAGATCAGTGAGCTAACATTTGGAAATAAACAAATGGCTGACCTATAGAAAAAGATAACCTTTATTGCGAAATTTAATTCACTTTTAAATGGCCAAACATGTTAAAATGTACAACACTAAAACATGCATAATATTACATATTTAAAAAAATTTAGTTTTTTTTTTAATCATACATGGAAAATGTTTAATTTGTTTGTAGTTCTACGTAATTATAATTGCTTTAGAATCTATGTTCCAGTACTCTTGGTAACTATTCAATTCCTTTATTTTTAATAATTAATCAAAATGAAAAGCTCGCCAGGTTGTATTCGATTCATGCAGATCATTAGGATTAATTATTATTAAATCAGTGAGGTCTTCCTCTGATTTCATTTTTAAAAACCTCATAGATACTGAAAGTTGTTCATTAACTAAGCTGAATTGTTTGTCGCAGAACTTTGGAGCTCCGTCGTTTGATGATAAGAAGCTGGAGGTGGTGGCCGTGTTTGGCAGCATGCAGATGGCGGTGTCCAGAGTCATCAACCTGCAGCATCATCGCATCGCTCAGGTAACAGACGCTCAGGAGAAACATATGAGAAACCTTCCCGACATTTCTCTTTTTTTTTTTTTTTTTGTTAATTAGCTTTAAACAGGAAAAACTTTTGCATTTTATCAGCAAAAAGTTAAACTTTAAAGATCAATAAGTAAAAGAACAGAAGTGAATCATTAAAATTTACAATATAGTGTCCGTCTCAACTGGTTAGACAAACAATTAACTAATGAAGCTTTCAGTGAAAGTCGTTCATCTGTGAAAAAAACAATCACTATTATAGCAGGTGTTTAATGAAACGGATGAACGTCCCTCTAATAGCTTTCTGCTGTTTGTGGCTCTCAGTGCCGACAGGTGAAGATCACCATCCTGGGGGAGGAGGGGGTCCCCGTGCAGGTGGACGGCGAAGCCTGGATCCAGCCTCCCGGCATCGTGGAGATCGTGCACAAGAACCGTGCTCAGATGCTCACGAGAGACAGGGTGAGATCAAACACCCATATACGCTGAAGAATGTGCACCTTTTCAGTTCCAGTAAAGACAGGTTGGCAGACCGTGGCGTGAAATGTCATGAGTGCTGCAGCTGAGTGTCCTCTGGAGGCTTCTGGCTGCAGCCCTCTGCTCACGTTGTTGACTCTTTCTATTTTAAGACTTCTTAAATCAAATCCATCCCCTCTGTGTTTGCTCACTCCTTCATGGTGCTCAAAGCTTTGAGAGCTCTCTTGAGCTGAGCGTGTTTGGGCAGTTTGTTTCCATGGTTTCCTTCGCCCAGTGAACACTGTCTGCTCCTTTTAAACATGGCCTTCTTTCAATAAACTAATGACGCTTAACTCTGGATAATAACAGGTTTTTAATTTAATATTAAAACGCAAACATTTGAATCAGTAAGGAGATAAAAAACAAAACACCAATGTTGTTTTCTGCTTCCTGATTTGTTTATTAGGTTCACATTTATGACTTTTCGAATATTTTTCCTTCTGTTTAGCATTTTGTAAAGCTTTCATGAAGTGTCTGACGTTTGTTTCCATCCCATCAGGCGTTTGAAAGCACGCTGAAGTCATGGGAGGATAAGAGAAAGATTGACAGCTACCGCGCCGCCAGGCCCCGCCTCAACTCCCAGCAGTCCATGGAGTACCTCACTGAGGAGGAGTGCGCTCAGGTGCAGCAGCTGGGCATTGTGGCTGATACCCTCATAAATAAGTACGTCACTGCTCCTTATACCAGCTATAAATACATAAATGCTACATATGTAGTTAAATTGTCTTTCTTATTTTTTTTTACGTTTAAGTAAGAGAAGCTTTGGATCTTTACTAATGCTTAGCCCCTTGAACCCTACGGACCCACCGGTGGGTCCAGCTGCTACGTGACCTTGTAATTTTAACAAACCCCCAGTATTGATGTAAAAAACATATTTGGCACAGTTTGGTGACATTTATGGTTTAATGTGCCAAAATGGCCTCTCCGCCTAAGAAATTTCTCACTAATACCATTTTAAAATAATTATGTTTCATCTGATTGAGTCCAAATTTGGTATATTTTTACACAACATTTAGATTTGAAAGTCTGTACTACTTTTTTGTGCTATAAATAATATTTTGGTAGTGTTTTGCAATGTTTATTTCAAAGAAAATTTTGGCGAGGTTAAAAAAATGCAAAATATTTTGTATTTTGTCCCTAATATTTCAGGCAGGGTCAAAGCTACAATGGTGCTGACACCAGAAAACCATTCTATGACATCTTACCTTTACAGACGTACCAAAAGTTTCTTCTTAAATCTAATAGCTTTGAGGCTATAAGTTATTTACTTTTGTGTGTTTTTGTCAGGCAGAAATTTATTTATACCCCCTTAGGGTGTAAGAGGTTAGTTTTGCTTTGAGATTAAGTCACATAAAAAAACACTGGATAGTCATTAATTTCTAGCATCTTTTATGTGTCTAAAATCAATCCCCCATCACCATTCCTTCCCAACCATGCCTCACAGTAAGCACACTTCAATAAACCATTCCAAAAAATTTATAAACAAACAACTGCACTTTGTTTTCCAAGTTTGAACACATTTTGCTTCCCACCCAGAAAGCTTTCTCTATTCAAAATGTCTGCAGTAGCGTTAAGTTCCAGGCTTATAAAATGACCCAAACAAAAAACTTGTTGTGGCTTAGAAAACATGCAAATTGAACCAAAAACAGGTAATGGGGAATCGTTGAGGACGATGTTGGCCTGCAAATCCCGGTACTGGCCCATGCCTCTGCAAAGGGAAGTCATTAGGGTCGTTCTTGGCCTGGCGAAACAGTCTAGGTGTTTTGATTCCCTGCATGGCGGTGAGGATTTAGATTCTAGTGGGAAGGAATCAACTCTAACGCTGCGTTATAGGTTTTTCTCTCTTGACGTAAATGGTTTCCTTCACACCTCTTTCAAACCACCTGTCTTCTTTGTCCAATAAACCATCAAGTTGTAATTATGAGGATAAATTAGCTGCAATTTCCATTAAAAGTTTTTCGCTTCGATTAGGTGGTTTTCTTAATTCTTAATTTTTTTGCAAAACTGCTTTGGAAACACTTGTTTCGCATCACACAAGTCAAGCGATCTGCAGCTGGACCGTACTGCCTTGTAAAAAGATGCACAGATGGTAGTTGGAGGATGATGATGGCTGAAATCTGGATAAATCTCAATTTTAGTTGTGTTTTTGTTATTTCATGGAAATACTGCAGTTGCAGAACTTACACATTTGTAATGGAAACACTGTGTGTTGTGTTTGGTTTTATTTAAATGATTGTTTTTGCCAAAGGGGCAAGCACTTAGACTTGGGTAACATTAGACCAAAAAAAAAACACTGTTGCAGAAATCTAGTGGTTAATTTATATCCGCCTAAATTGTTGGACCCAAGCCAGAGAAAACACAGACATTATTTAATGTTTTTCTACTGAAAATTGTCTTTAAGATAACTTTTTTTTTTGATCCAGCTAAAACAGTGTCTGAGCGGACTCACACCTCTTTCCTGAATTTACTTTGAGTCAGTAGTTCCCATTTTGTTCTGGTGTCCAAACTATCAAACAACCGAAGCGTTATATTCAAGATGTGTTTTGTGGATACTAAGAAGCGACCGGCATCCAGCTCAACTCAGGCACCAATAGCAACTCCAAAAAAAACAACAACACTTTTTACATACAAGAGCAAGCTACGAGGAGCATAAGAGTGCTGCAGTTCCGTGTTTTGGCCACAAGTGGCAGTATTATTAGAAAACTCTATAATGCCTCTTTAAAGTCGTAGGGAAATCATATTTAAATATCAAATAATTCTGGCTTAAACATTTGTATAAATGTAGTCTTTTTTTTATGCAGGCTAGTCAGTTATACGTCAGCTTGTACACCTAAATTCAGCAAATAAGAAATAAGAATCATTTATTTTACCATTGAGTTAGTAAATAATGATTGTTATTATTTCAACCGTTGCGTATATTAGCTGCGATCAATATGCTAGGACTGAAAATATTTGATTGACAGATGACCGTTAATATATGATTGGCCGAATTTAGTTGTACCAGCTGACGTATAACTAACTGGCCTGCATAAGATAACGAGAAAAAAACCACCCACAGATTTTAAGACAGGATTTTTTTTTTAAATAGAAATTTTCTAACTTTTGCGACAATATCTTCTGATAAAGAGTACATTTATATAAATGTTTAAGCCAGAATTATTTGATATTTAAATATGATTTCCCTACGACTTTAAACTCTCTGACCTTGGGGGAAACTTGCTGGATTTCTAACTACTGGAAACTTTGGCAGTTCTTAAAGATTTTAAAGGTTACTGTGCAATAAAGCAACACTTTAACACACTGTTTATAAAACAGCTGAAATAAAATAGGCAAGCAAACATTCATGATGCTTAAACTAAAAAAAATTGAATACAAAATCCTTTCAGGCTGAATTTTGCTCCTTATTTTCCTCTTTTAAGACATTAGTCATCGTCTTCATTCAGTTCAGTTTTTTCCTTTTTTCGTTCCTTAAGAAGCCAAACATTCATTATCAGCAAATTACACTTTTTTCTACCTTGATTTAGAAACAGTTTCTGCTTCATGTTGATTAATGAGGATTAAATGAGTGCAAATTAGAGGACTTCATTCACTACCTCCCTGATTATGACCCTGCAACTTATTTACAAGTATTTCTTTTTTCCCTCTTTTTAGAATCCGCGAGGCAGCGAAGACCCATAAGCTGGTGGAGCAGGAGTTGGCTCACGCCGTGAACGCCACAGCCCTGGTGCTCACCGAGGCCAAAGTGTCCAGCAACGAGGTGAGACGCCCATCTTAGCAGGACAAACAGAGAGGCTGATGGCCGCTATGATGGACGAAAGAGAAAAAAAGGGACAGATTTTCAGCCATATGTTTGGGTCTCAGTTCAACCTGCAGGCTGTTCATGTTCAGGCCTTTTGACCTAAAGTCCATCTGTCTGGTCGAGCAAATATATGAACATTTGGAAACAATGATCTGTTTTCCTTTTTTTTCACATGTTATTTTTGGTTTCAGTGCCTGAGTCGCAGCACGGCGGTGGAAATCGTCAACAGCAGTAAAGTCCTCCAGGCAGAGACCAGTATGCTGCTCGATGGGAAACTATTGGTATGAGTCTGAAGCTTCATCCATGTTTGCTCTTTCACTGCCTTTTCTCGCTTTGCTGAAAGCTATTGAGCCTTTTGGCCTCTCAGATTTCAATGTCTGTCGTTTCGTTTCTTTCTTCAGTCTGTAGCTTTAATTCAGTGTGGACATGTATACCATCAGACAACTGTCCTTTGTGCAGAAAACAAATGATTAAAGTAGCTTTTCTTACAAGGTGTAAAACCTGAAAATGTTTCTGGAGGGTTTTTTTTTTTCCAAGGAATACTTTCCTTTCACTCGTTTTATTTTTATTTAATTAGTTTAAATATGCATTTTAAATGTGTTACTTCATTTCCTTTCAGGCTTAAGGATCTATATCGAGCAGCACAGTCAGATATTATCACTTGTTGCACTATTTGAATCCAGGGGCGTCTCGATAAAACTGTTTCGTTTCCGATACGCTACAGATATCGCAGCTATGAGAGTTAACCGATACCGATATTGACCCAATACGATATTAGCACAGATTATACAGGATCTAATTACTTATTTTGTACTGTATCTCTTGATCAAGTGATATTACTAAACCAGAGAAATAGTCAACAGCAATAGGTATGATAACACATGACACATATTAGCAATTGGTTACAGAAACTTTAAACAGAAGCAGAATGTTTTTATCAACAGTCAGTATTGTAGATTTAAGAAACAGGCCAATTTTAGATTTTTAGATCAGATCGATATCTGATATAGAATACTGGATCAGGACAGTCCTAATATGAACTTTTAGAATAAACAAAAAGGTTTTTCTTTCAGAAGACTCAGAAACTAAAAGTTATTTTCTGCTAGCAAAATTAAAATAATTACATTACTGTTCTTTTAAGCCATATCCGCATCATTACTGCCATCCCCTGGATCGGAGTTGCAGTGCAGTTTTCTTTACTCCTTTTTTCCATATGTCATTCGGCTGAATTAAATAGATTTTCTGCAGCCTTTCAGAAATAAGAAGTGTTGCACCGATACAGATACCAGTATCGGGCAGGGCCCCGATCCAGCACTAAAATGGTGGTATCGATACCTGCGAGTACCAACAAATAGAGCACCGATACCATTTTGAGAGCCAAAAGTTTATCCAACTATTGTCACCCATTCCATGTAGGAAATAAAAAGTTCTACTGGATTAACTTTGTATTAGTCTTTTTCCTGATTCACAAAGGTAGGCAGCAGATTGACAAAGCCATGATGGCAATTATTTTACATCCAAGTAGCATGCAGTTCTTCATATACACACACACATCAATTTCAAACAGATGGTATCAGTATCTGCTAATACTGCACAGCCAGATATCGAGCCAAAAATGGCACTGGCTGCAACACTAGAAATAAGAATACTAACAGCTATAACTTTACCCTGCATTATTTTTAGTTGTTCCATCAAAGAGCTGGTAGAAGAGTTACCAAAGTTAGAAAAGTGGGCTAAATTCAATTTCTGTATACAAACCAAACTTTATAGATTTATACTGCAAAATGTGTTAACTAACTTTTGGTAATTTTTAAAGCAATATTAACTAAACCTATGATGTTTCCCAGATTTATTATATAATCGCAGTGTATGCATGCTAACATCTCACCATAACTTAATTTTCTCACTATTTTAGTTTAAAGTAGCTCTACATCTTAGACTTCACTCCATGTTTTTAGAGTTATTCTTCTATTGCTATTCTTTAGCTTTTATTCTTAACCTATAAGGTTTAGACTGTCGGTTGTCTGATTCTTCTGTAGTTTTGTGTTTTAGTTTTATTTTCTTTTGTTTAAAATGTGGTGACTGTGTTTATTTGACATATCCTTTAAATCTCTTCTCAATTTATTGAAGTTAGGCCCTTAAATTAATTATATATAAAATCTTTGGTATTTTAATATGTCTTATTAAGTCTAGCAGTGTAGACAGACGGCAGTGAATATAAACAGACGGTTTTTTTTTAGATCTGGTAAATGATGAAGGACATGTTCTCTTTCAGACTGATTTTCCTGAGGAGGAAGAACTCCGTTTGACTCTGAATAACCTTAGTGCCGAGCTCCTTAAGCTGGATGACATCCACTGGATCTGTCCACTCATGCAATGCTCCGAGGAGGTATGTCTTATCGTTCCAAACAAGCAGAAGTGTTTAAAATCTCTTGGGGTGTATTAACTTATCCTGCTGCTTAACTTAGGATGCTGTGAGGAGCAGCAGTAAAAGCAGCAGCAGTATGAAGCTGAAGATTATACCCAAAACAAAGAAAGAGAAGGAGAAGCTTCACAAACAGAAGTCCAACAGTTCACTCTCAGGTAAAAGCTCACCTCATCACTGTGATCCTTTGCAGCCTGGAAAGATCTGGGATATTATCACCATATTTTCCAGGACAGGATAAGTATTTCAGAAAAAAAATAAAAGACATATTCGTATGATGTATGACACTAAAGATGTTTCCCAAATTTATCATTTCACCATTTTTAGTTTCTAATTTCATGCTTTGATTATGATAAAAGAACACATATGAGTTAGAAATTGGCTAATGAAAGTTAGTCATTTAAAAAAATAAAAAATAAATAACAGGGGGCCCAGAATGAAGCCCTGATGAACGCCACAAGTAAGTGATGTTGCTCAGGGCTCCATTTATACTTTATATTGGCTTCCCTTAACATCTAATTTTAGGAGGGAAGGATAATCCCTTTCTAGGCTTTGTCACTGAGGTCTAAAATCTACAACAAACACATAAAAGTTAAAATGAAAGCTTTTATTGAATTTTCTAATTTACATGAAATTTTGATGAACCAAGACCGTACGAAAATCAGGTAATAGACTTATGCCATCATGTTTTGCTCAACAGTTTTATAGCCTTCGGTGAAATTCCAGGGTTTCCTAATGTGCTGATTACATCCTATTCACAGAAATATTTTACCAATTCCTTTTGGACGAAATTTTGGAAGCCCGTTTCCACCACAAAGTTATCATTATGAGATATTCAACTTTCAAACTTTTTATCTTTTAATTATGACTTTGAAAGTCAAAGTTATTACTTTGTAAGTCATAATTATGACTTAGGAACTAAAAATGTTTAAGAAAGTAAACAGTGATGTAATTTAGCAAGTTAGAATAAAACACAAAGGTTTGATACAGATCTAATTGAGCTGAAGACTTGTCTTTAATAGGGAATTTAAAATCTCACTGGCTTGTTATTTTGATTATTGAGCACCTGGTTGATCTACTTGTATGGAAGCCCGATATCGCCACATTGAAACAAAAAAAGGCCAAATAGAAAGTCATAATTATGAGATACAAAGTCATAATTTCCACTTTCAAAGTCATAATTATGAGTGACAAAGGGATAATTGCGACTTTCAAAGTAATAATTATAAGATACAAAGTTTGAAAATTGATTGATGATTATTACTTTCTATTTGGCATTTTTTTTTTTTTTCATGTGGCGGCAACAGGCTTCCATACAAATAGATCAACAAGGCGCTCAATAATCAAAGGTCAAAATAACAAACCCGTGATATTTTAAAGCTGAAGTCTGTAAGTTTTTAAAAATCCCTTTTTTGTCATATTGGCTAAAACTGTCCCTATGCCCAGACAGCAGTACATGTGATATGTAACCTGTGAAAAAAACTGCTTCAATTGGTCCCGCCTACTGCCTGTATTTCAATCTGGAAAGAATAATTCGGGACGAGTCAAAACAACCAATCACAGCCAGAGGAGCGTCTGATGGAGTGTCAATCACAGCTCACACACGCTGAATCCCGCCCCCGCCCTTTCTGGTCCCATGCGGTAGCCGCGCAGAAGCTGTGAGAGGGGTGGAGCTTGGAGGTGGGGCATGAGTGAAGCAGAGAGGGTGGGGGAGTGGCGTGAAACCTGTTTTTCTTCAAATTTTCAGTCGAAGTCTGCTCTCTTCTCAATGTTACAGACTGCAGCTTTAAATGCCCTATTAGAGACTAGCAGTAAGCCCAGTTAGATCTTTATTCAAACCTTTGTGTTTTATTCTAACTTGCTAAATAACATCACTGTTTACTTTGTTTTATTTGTTCTTAGTTTTTTTACAATTTCTGTAGGCGATTTATGTTTCTCTGTTATATCTAATAAAATCTTTGTATAAGGCGCTATAAACACAGTTTGACAACAATTTAATATCATAGGATTAAAAAAAATGATAATTAATTAATACATTTTTGTGTCCTGCAGGATCGTGGGATATTAAAGGCGGGGCAACTGAGGCTGAGTCCTAAGGAAGGCGAATCCCTGCGTGAGCCGCTTTATCACTCTCTAAATGAGGGGTATGGCCCCCTCCCTCCCTCCTCTCTAATCATTAAAGCCCTGTGGCTTTCATAGAGGTGTCACAAACTGAAGAGATTCATTTCTTCCCTATTTTTAAGCATTTAGCTCCGTTTTAATTCTTTGTAATCTGTTATTTTGCTGCAGACCAGCAGGTTATTTTTATCCAATTTCTTATTCTTTTTTTTTTTTAAAGGGCCTGTTTTTGGTGTGGCATTGCTTTAATGCTGCTGTTCTGCTTTTATTTCTGAGTGCAGCCAGTAGCAAGTCAAAGGTGACAACCATGCAGACTGGGAAAACAAAGGAAATGTGTTTACGTGGTGCTCACCTTGCATGGCAGGTGTAAACATTAGTTTTTGTTATAAGTTGTTACAATCTATTTTTTCTCTCTTTAGTTTAATTAATGATGTTGAACTTCTGAATAGCCTTTGGACTGCATATTTATTTGTTTAGTGCTACTACCATGTGAACTCCAACGGCAACGAATCAACAAAATGAACAAACTGAGATGTCTCAGCGTTATTGTCTACTGAACTGGAAAATATCATAAATGTTGCAAAAAATATACCGAGGAATGTACTTGTGTGGACTTTTGATAATGACAATGCTGTTCGGTTTGATTTCACAGCGCTTCTATTGTGGTTTTAAAGTGGTTCTTCAGTGGTCCTAGAATTTTGCAGTAACGCTGCAAAAATAACCTTTACCGCGAGTCATTTCATGGAGAACTCAGCCATGTGACGGCAGGATTAAAGAGTTTTATTATGTGGCTTTATGTGGGAGTGAAATCTCACCCTGCTGTGTGTGTTTTACACCGTTTTAAAGAACAGTTCCTGATGAAATGACTCAGACCGATTATTTCTGCGATTGTCTGGTGAGGGCGTTTACAGAAGGAGGAAGAATCAAGGACACTTTGAAAAAATAAAAAAAAACATAGCAGCTTCTCAGTTTGTTGCTCTTACTTTGTCATACTACATGATTGTATATGAAACATAGGGATAAGTACTAATATGTATTTGATTTTTGCCTTGTCTGTGGTTAAAAGCTATTATTATGATTATTATTACAAATATATATCTATTTTTTGTACATTTTATTTTCCCACATGGTGATTTGTAAAGAGGTCCTGGCTTTGCTGCTTCCCCCTTTGAGAAGCTCCCAGGCAATCATAGATATAGATGCTGTTCCGTGTCCCTGCATGCATGCCAAGCCTTTCTTCGCCTCACAGTGGAAATTGCCTCAAAGTAGTGAATTTGTGAACGGCATTCCGGTATCACAGTGCTTACAGAAAATTTTGCAGGAGGTTTTAATTTTAAACATTGTTTTAGCTTGTATGAACCAGAGCATGGTTGTTGTTGGCCATAGCCTTCATGATTATCTTCCAAGAATAATATAAGATTTCTTTTTTAATGAAAGAGTTGATTTTGTTTAGTTTTCCATCCCTTATTAAACTAAAATGATATGTTTATACTACTCCTGTAACGATAACCATGAGTATAACGGGTTATTTAATCAAACTATTTGCTCGGGCTGCTAGCCTGAATTTAGCAGGTTAGAGGTGCGTTCACATCGAATGTATTCTGGGTCTTAAAGCATCCGACTTGCATGCAAAGTCTGTGGAAAACGGCGTTATTACAGCACTGAAACATTTTTAATGAGCTAAGGAGAACCGTTTATAAATACCTAAAGCTAAAGTGTTTTCTAGCTTGTAACGACAGAACAGAGCAGATAAACAAACAGTGCGTAGAACACGGAGCATTTGACCCAGCATCCAAGTTTTTGACACCCAAAACCTGTTCGGCATGAACGCATTAGAGATACGGCACATAACCTGCCTGTTGTAGTTTAAAATCCCAAAAAAACATTATAAGATTGATTAGCACTAGCCCATAGTTCAGCACCATTACTGCCCATGTTTTTTTTTTTTCCAGCAGGGAATACTTATTGAAACTGAAAGAAAAGTGGGCAACAAGTGGTGGTGGGGCAAAACTTAATTTAAGTCTAAAGCTACTGAAAAGCCTCTGCTGACTTAGATTATGTTATTTTAATATTGTTTTATGTTGATTTCCTCGCAGAGTGCTAGCAGACCCTAATGTTTAATAGGATTCAATGTGTGTGGTTTTTACATTATAACCTATAAAAACCCTAGCAAACCTTGCTAACAGCCTCCGACCAATGCTAGAAAAACAAGCAGCCAAATGCACTTCTTCAAAAAGCTAACGTATATATTTTTTTGTTTTTATGAATAATATGAAAGCAGGCAAAATTGCAGAACTTGGTTGCAGTTAAATGCAAGAAAAATCCACAGATACAGGGCTGTAAATGTTGTGAAGTAAACAGGCAGACAGAACAGTATGCAAGTTAGCCTTCGTGTGTTGAGATACATAGCGGCTCAATGCAGTTAGCTTGCTCATATTTACAAGCTAGCCTAAATATTAGCTTTAAACTATTTGCAAAACTAGCCAATTCGTTGTTTTTAGTTTATTTTACTGATTTCTGGATTCAAAAAGCTAGTTTTAACTGCTATGTTTTGTGCTTTTAGCAAACAAATCTCAGTCATTAGCCATGCTACTAGCATTTTATATTATTGGAAAATATAGTTTCAGCACCATGATTGCCCATGTTTTTTTGTTTGTTTTTTTCCAGCAGGGAATACTTATTGAAACTGAAATAAAAGTGGGCAACAAGTGGGGGTGGGGCAAAACTTAATTTAGGTCTAAAGCTACTGAAAAGCATCTGCTGACTTAGATTATGTCATTTTAATATTATTTTATGTTGATTTCCTCTCAGAGTGCTAGCAGACCGTAATATTGAATAGGTTTCAATAGGTGTGTGGTTTTTACATTATAACCTATAAAAACCCTGGCAAACCTTGCTAACAGTGTCCGACCAATGCTAGAAAAACAAGCAGCTAAATGCACTCTTACAAATAGCTAATATATATATTTTGTTGTTATGAAAAATATGAAAACAGGCAAAATTGCAGAATTTGGTTGCAGTAAAATGCTATAAAAATCCACAGATACAGGGCTGAAAATGTTGCAGACAGAATGGTATGCAAGTTAGCCGTCGTGTGCTGAGATACATAGCGGCTCAATGCAGTTAGCTTGCTCAAATTTACAAGCTAGCCTAAATATTAGCTTAAAACTAGTTGCAAAATTAGCCGATTCGTGGTTTTTAGTTTATTTTACTGATTTCTAGATTCAAAAAGCTAGCTTGAACTGCTATGTTTTGTGTTTTAAGCAAACAAATCTCATTTATTATCTATGCTACTAGCATTTTATAGTTTTTGGACAAAAAAAAAAAAAAAAATGTGACTTGAAATCTTTTATTTCTTCTGATTCTTCAGACTTAACCCCTGATGGGATGTAGTCACTGTGAGGCGCTGTAGATGTTCAGCTGTGGTAGGATTGTGCTACTGTATCCATAGTGTGCCAGCTACACGCTCAAAACCTTAGAGGCTTTAGTGGTTGTTGTGCCAAGTCTGTGTTTTGGGTTTAGGAAGCGCGTGCAGGTGTGAGTGCGTTTTACGAATGCGGTGTGTGCAAGCTTTTGATGCGCTTCAGACGCGAAGGTTGTTGCGTGTCGTACATTTCAAAGTTTACTGTATCTTGCCTTGCACTTTACAATGAAGCAAACTTAATAGGAAAAAAAAAAAACATTTGCATATGTGCGTGTGTGCGTTGAGATTTTGAGTGTTTACATGCATTTTTTTTTTCAAATTAATTTGATGAAAATATATTTTATTTATGATATTGTATAAAATGTGCTGGTAAAATGTAATATCTAACCTTAATCATAAATCATATATAAATACAGATGTAAAAACGGGTTTATTACATTGGTGGTTTTAAACTTAAATGTGATGATGTCCTATCGCACCTATGGCAGTGTAAAAGATGTTGAAAACTGTAATTATTTTGAAAATCTTAAGTCATCATATTGAAACTGTCCAGTGTTATTTATTGATTACAAATGACTCGTTTACACAACCGAGGTGTTGAGCCGGTGTCAGACCAATCTTTGAGTGCTTTTTTCTGTCACTTTCAGTTCCAATTATATGCTGTACTGAAAAAGATGACAAAAACGTTGAGATACGAAAGCCATTTTGTAAAAACTAGTTGCCTGTTTATTTTTTAATAATCATTTAATCGACTGCCTTTCGGATTTGTTTATGAAAGATGATTTGTCTTTTTTTCTATATTTTGTGTAATTTGTTTTCAAAATGCTGAAATGTGATTTTTTTTTGGACAAACTCTTCCAAGCGCTGAGCTGGAGCTGCGATGACTGCAGAGGAAATTGCTGATTTGAAGCGTCTGACCGCGTTAGTGCAACAGCATCGGACAGCCGTTATGGAACAGTGACTGTACGCAGCGCGGGAAGCCGGACTAGATGTTGCACGACTTTGTACATTGCAAGGTGTTTTCGTGTGTTATCATGTGCAGTGTATGACAAAGACAAAGTCAGTGCAACCCTCTGGAGATTAAATGAATTATTGAAGTGTGAAAGTTGTGTCTTTTTCTTAAGTTGTTGCTTTTTCTTCATTCTTTCTGCTGCATTTATTTTTTATTAGGATCTATTGAGTCAGGTAACCACTCTGTCCCTCCACATAACAAGAATATTCCTCTTTTAGTTCCAGTATTTAGTCATTTATTGCATTTCTTCCAAAATTGGATTGGATGAGCATTAGTTTAAATGATGCATTGTTCTGGACTTTATTTGGGCCACTCTAAAATATAAGTACATTTTAATCCAAAGTACCATTATTGCCATTCTGGCTGCAGGTTTAGGGTTATTTTAGTGCTGGAAGGCCAACCTCTTACCTGCTCAGATAATTTTTTAGCCTTTTTGCCATTTTTCAGATGACGGTTATAAACCACACAGAATTTAATTGTAGGCTCTAAATTATTGATCTTATAAGACAAGGATCTTCTTGTTCATTTAGTCGCCAATACGACTGTAAGACTTTAACACATTTGTTGTCTTTTCCAAGTCATAAAGTGAGACCAGATTTTTCCTACGCTCTTTCTAAATATCCTCCCACCTGAGCTGTGCATCTCAGCAGCTCCTCCAAAGCCCATGGCCCTCTTGGTTTCTCCTCTGATTCATCCACATTGCATTTACTTCAATAAAAAACAAACATAATCAGATCACATTTTTCTGAGACTTTTATCAGAAAATATTTTTTGAATAATTTAAGTTTAAAACTACTACAGAAATACCCCAGCTGTGTGTTTTTGGCCTTGTTTGCCAGGTTTTATGTTGGATGGAATCCCAGATAAACCTGTCATGTTGAAAACCAATTGCTGACATATGATTCAAGCACGACTCATACAATGAAGATTTTAAAGGATTCTTTTACTAATAAATTTAGTCATGGCGCTATCAACCTATTTACATCCATTTCATTCTTTCTTATTCTGTGACTACAAATAAAATGATAATGCGCGAACACAGGTGGGACAATCTGACTTAATGTGGCATAAGATGTTTGTTTTTTGATCCCCTGGTCATTTTAATGTCCCACAAGTTCATTAATCAATTAGATATTTAATCACCAGGTCCTGATGGTGTCAGTCCTATAGAGTACTGAAGGTCTGTGCAGAGCATCTCTGTGGGATTCTACAGCACCTCTTCAACCGTAGTCTGACCCAATAGACAGTCTCAGTGACGTGGAAGCCCTCCTGTCTTGTTCCAGTGCCAAAATAGACCTGTTGCCCTGACAACCCACATCATGAAGGTCCTAGAGAGACTTCTGTTGGTTCACCTCAGCACGCAAACAAGAAGCTATCAGGACGCCCCACAGTTTGCTTATCACTGTGGAGTTGGAGTTTAAGATCCCATCATACAGTACACCTGCTTCAACAAACCCGCTGTCATTTAGACCAGGCATCCCCAAACTCAGTCCTCATGGCCCCCTGTCCTGCAGATTTTAGAGGTTTCCTTGCTCCAGCACAGCTGATTTTAATTGAAAGCTGATTAACAGGCTTTTGGTCTACTGCAATCATTATAACCAGCTGTGCTGAAGCAGAGAAACCTCTAAAACTTGCAGGACAGGGGGCCTTGAGGGCCGAGTTTGGGAATGCCTGATTTTAGACAATGCAGACAGCACTGTGAATATCATGTTCTTTGATTTCTCCAGGGCATTGGGTATTATTTAGCCTGACTTACTTTGTGAGAAACTCCAGAAGACTCAGGTGGAGGCATCAAAAATCACCTGGATCAAAGACTACCTGACCAACAGACCAAGGTTTGTTAGACTGAAGGGTCAGCTGTCTAATCAAGTACAATGGTAAATGGCATGTACTTATATAGCGCCTTTATTCAAGTTAGGAGACTTGACCAAAGCGCTTTACACTACATTCATTCACCCATTCACGCACACACTCACACACTGATGGTGGCAAGCTACATTGTAGCCACAGCTGCCCTGGGGCTCACTGACAGAAGCGGGGCTGCGGTACACTGGCGCCACCGGGCCCTCTGACCACCATCAGTAGACAATGCAGGTGAAGTGTCTTGCCCAAGGACACAACGACACTGAAAGTCGGAGTCGGGGCTTGAACCGTCAATCCTTCGATTTCAGGGCAAACTCCTACATCCAACGCCACTGTCGCCCTATTTTTTGGGGCATATGTCTAAAAAGGCTACATTTAAGGTTGTAAAAATCATTTCCAATAAAAGACAGAAAAAGTTCGGAAAATGACAAATTCAAAAACACAGACACATAAAAAGTAGTCACAGGAGCACCACAGGGGACGGTACTCTCACTATTCCTTTTTTACTCTGTACACGTCTGACTTCTAGTACCAGGGTCCTGTCATCTGCAGAAATACTCAGATGACTCTGCAATCATTTGATTCATCAAAAAGCTTTGTGGTATGGTTTGGAAAAAACAATCTGATGCTGAATGCCAACAAAACAAGGGAGATGATTGTAGATTTGAGAAGAAACAGGAACACGTCGAAACCTATTAGCATCATGGGAGAAGAAGTGGAGGTAGTTGAGGAGCTTAAATACCTTGGTGTTCATCTGGAAAACAGACTAGAGATGGAACTGTGAAGCCGTCTACAAGAAGGGACAGAGCAGATTTTACTTCCTGAGGAAGCTTAAGTCCTTTAGTGACTGCCGCAAGATGCTACATATCTGCTATAAATCTGCTGTGGAGAGTTTGATCTCTTCTTCCACCCCCTGCTGGGGTAACAGTGTTAGAGCTAACGGCTTAAAAAGCTGATAAAGAAGGTCTGCTCTGTTCTAGGAACTCCTCTAGAACCTCTGGAGATCATTTCAGAAAGAAGAATTCTTTGAAAAAAGAAGAAAAATATCGACAACAGTGAGCATCATCTTCAGAAGATTTTTAAACAACAACAGAGTGTCTTCAGTCAGAAGGTTCTCCGTGTCTGCTGCAACACAGACCTCTACAGAAGATCATTCCTGCCCACAGCTATCAACGCCTACAACTAGTTTAAAAAAACCCACAACTTATGAGTTACTTTAACATTAAATTTCCCTTTTGGAAAAATAAAATATTTTTTATTAAATTGGAATTAAATTATTCAGTAATATTGTTGTTTTCTCTTACTTAACTCACTTAAATCATCACATTCTTTTTGCTAATTATCTTATCTGATCAAATCTTCGGAGAGATTCTGTTTAGCACCAAATAACTATTAAAGAAAGATGAGCTTAGACAGAAAGAAAGACATAGAAAACATTTATTTTCTTCTGCTAAGGTTGCACTATAAAATAAAAAGACCTGCAGTGGGCTCGTCGTTTTATCATGCAAAACAAAGCGTCAAGGTATTTACATAACATTAAGTTATGGCTGAAAAAAAAAGCAGACATCTTAACCTTTTTCACATTCAGAAAATGTAACTTTGATTGCTACAAAAAAAAAAGAAAGAAAAAAAGAAAACTGCTTATTTTGTGTGACATCACTCCACATCACCACCATGCTCCTCCAAATCAGGCATGTCTTCATATCCTTCCTGCTCCTCCTCCCTCCTTTGCTCCTCTAGCTTCCTCTTCTCCTCCTCCATCTTCTTCTGCTCTGCCATCAATCTTCTCATCTCTTCCTCCACCTCCTTCCTTTTTAAATTCTGCATCTCTTCTTCCTCCCTGCTCTTCCTTTGCTGTTCGATCTCCTCCACCTTCTTCTTGTTCTCAGGCGTGTCGTAGGCCCACTCCTCATCCGAGTCGCTGATGTCGTCATCGTCGATGTCCCAGTCGGGCTGGTAGGACTCCTGGGCTTCGTTCAGGTCGTCATCTACAGGCTCCGGCTCGGGCTTGTAGTTTGGGTCCTCCAGTTTGCCCCAGGCCACCTGGTCGGCCTTGCGGAGCGTGATCTCCACTTTGGACGGGACCATGTTGACTGAGCTCTGTTTGACATTGACCACCTGAAAGTTCAATGGAGGTCAACAATCATTCCATACCTGCAGACCCTCTCCATCTGATGATATATAGAATGGTTTAACAAATACCATAATTATAACCTTTGGCAAGTTTTTAAAGAACATTTGAATTTAATTTTCACTACAGAATGAAATTAAAGACATAAAAACATGCTTTTAGATCTACTTTTTACTGTCATTAGCTTGGAAACTAAGTGTTTATTTTTATAGAATAATATCCTGTAGAATAGAATCCAAAATGATGCCTGTTTAATAAACCTTCATATTTTGTCGTTATTTTAAAAACTAAAAAAGCACATAAATTTGCAGATTTTTGTGGAAGCATAAATCTTCCTTGGCCTATTTGTGAGATAAAATATTTTGCCTAAATAGGGATTGTTTAGAAGTGTTGCAGCAGTCTGTTTGTCTTCATGCCGTGTTTATCTGGCTGAAATTGATGTCCTTGATGAACGTGTTTTTTTCTTGGGAATAACCAAATGTTAAAGTGTGAGAAAGTTTCCTTATGCAGGGGGTGGGTTCGTTCCCCTACACTGCAAAAGAATTTAAATCTTAATAAGTCATTTTTTCTTAAAATCAGTGCATTTTTTCTTGGATTGAGGAGGTAAATAAGACACTTAGCCAATGGAACTACACAATTTATATTTAAAAAAAGGAAAAAAAACAATTGCAATGTCTTATTGCAAGTGCATTTTATCTAATTATCTTATTTTAAGAGTAAAAATACTCATTCCATTGGCAAAACCTCTTACTTACCTATTCAATTTAAGGGTAAATACACTTAATTTAAGTAATCTTTACTTATTTCTAGATTGTTTTTACAGTGTAGGGGGAGTGTGTGTGATTTTGTAAGGTATAAATGAACTGAAATCCCTCAGTCAGAGCTCTATCCCTCCGTCTGAGGACGTTAAATACATTTTAACTGTATTTCTTGCAAGAAATGCCTCCGCCTCAGCTTCCCTAATTCACATTTTCTATTAAAGATATTTAACAAAAAGGAAAGTAGGAATCTTAAGGCTGTGTAATATCTGTGGATATAAAGGATCTTTATTCAGTTGGTCTCGTGGTAAAACGGCTCTTTGGATTTAGAAGTATATATA